ACGAAAACATGCACTTTTTAAAAATTTATTACACAAAAACTAAGACAGCTAGAACAAATTTTTTCTTACTTCTGCAAAGAAGAAAGTACAGAATTTAAAGCTGTAGCAACTTTTTACTGTTTTGCATTTGTAAAGATTATTAAATTAAGAAGATTGTTAAAAGTTAAATAACTTAAAAAATTTGAATGGAACACCTTTTTTGTTTTGGCATCTAATAGATTGATAAATTGTCTATCTAAAAAAATTAACTTTTAATGTCTAGTTGTGCAACTGTGCACTTTTTAGCTACTGAAACAATAGTAAGTATTTTTTTTTAATATTTAACGTTAAATGTCTTTTTAGTTATTGATTATAAACACCTTAAAGTAAATAATTTTAGAAAGACAATTTAATAATCCTTTAAATGCAAAAAATAAAAAGGTGTTCCATTTAATTTTTTCAGGTTATTGAACTTTTAACAAATGCCTTAATTTTTTTATCTTTGCAAATGCAACACACTAAAAAATGTTACAACCTTATACCTTGTACCTTCTTCTTTTCGGTAGTAAAAAAAATATTTCTAGATGTCTTAGTTTTTGTAATAGATTTTTAAAAAGTGCATGTTTTCGTCAAAAAAACCGTCTTATTTTTAAAACTAAACAAAATCGACCAATAAAAATTTAGCTTAAAAACATTGACATAAAAATCTACATCTAAAAACGCTAAGAAACATAAGGTTTTATTTAAAAAACCATAAGTTTGTATTGTAACTTATTCTTAAGACACTCTGTATCGTTGAAAATAATTCTAGGGGATAGACTAGATTAGTATCTAGTCCTATATAATTTTTTTTTAAATTTCACCATATAAAGGTCACTAATGGACTTTTTCAACTCGTTGGGACACTGCATATTAATTTTTTCACCAATAAGATAAGAAATCACCAACTGCCCATTTAGATATTTAAGGAATAAACAACAAAATTATTTTTTTTTTATAAATCCCTGTTTTTGGTTTAAAAATAAAGGGTTAATTCTTCTAATGGTTGTAAATTTATTTCTGGTGCATTTTTTGCCACTAATCTGGTGTGACAATAGCATAAACATCCTTCAATCCTGTTGGGTAAAATCCTTTGAGCAAAGCCGCCCCAGTGCTGCGCCAACACCTTGTAAATTTGAAATTTTAATGCCCCACTCTGAACCTTTTTACAAATTCATTATTCGAGAAAGAATATGTATGATGCGGCGTCCGTATTTTGCTGGTGTGTAGGCTATATCTTCCGGTGGATTATCGATTGCGGCGCGTTTTTAATTGCGCGTTGCAGTAGCATCCGAGTCGCTTCTTCTCAATCCCCTTGATTACACCAAACAAATTCTTATGAAAATAGCTTCCAAGCATTTATAACGCATCGTTTTCTCGATGATACAGTGGCGTGTTTGCAGGCAATTTCCCCGAAATCATCCCCTTGTACGATTATTTAACGTCATAATCAAATCCGTTTGCTGTTTAACCGCGAACGACAAGCGATCATCCATCATGATCGCAGGGATTCCGTCGCAACATCAAACGAGATCCCCGTTGCCGTCACACGGGCGAAAGACGGCCGTTTCGTATTGATTTGCTCCCCTACCCCATCCTCACGGTCTTTGTGTGGTGGCGGCGGCCGCGACGGTGCAGTTATTTCCGATCAAAAAAAGAAAAAGAAAAAACGCTAGCGGGAAATTAATTGCCACAAATAAACATTTTCTTGTCCTTGTCGACGAAAAGGATGAGAAACTCGCGTGTGGAAGAACACAAGCCGAAGGGTTTATTATTGCCAACGACACGACATAAAAACTAAGCTATATAGTTACGGGGCTCCTGTTTTATTCATGAGACCAGTGGAAGGAATGATAGTGCACAGGGGGGTTATAAGGTAGGTTTTTTAGCGTGAACCAGATGTTCGAATCGGAAAAAAAATTGCAAATTGCAAAACAAATTTTCAACAACAACATTTCACCGTTTTATGAGCTGTTAATTTGTAATAACATAACAGACTAAAAATAAATAGTAAAACTTTTTTGGAGAAACAAATGTAGCGGTTGGTCCATACATTTCGTTGCGGTAATTGGACCTTTCAGAGGTTAATCTTCGAGCACCACTTTGGTACGTTTCAGGATTAGTCGCTTCCGGTGGTCTTCCGGTGTTGGCATTCTCATCGATTTCCGACTTTGGTGAAATTGTTTAGATCAAAATTTTACGGTAGAATAAAGATGTGGATATCCTGCAATCATTCTTTCATGAATCGTCTTGGGAATTTTCATGAATTGTTTAGGGATTATTTTTCGTTTCTTTTGTGTGGAAGTTTATGACATTTTTATGTTTAAAGTTTTTATTTACTTGTTTTCTTTAAAGAAAACAACACGAACCGTCAGCGAAACGAAACAAAGGATGATAGTCTTTGAAATATGAAAAACTGTCAGTAAAATACATATGAAGTTTTAACGCAACAACAGAAAACAAGTTCTTGTTTTTTTTTAACTGATGTAATAAAGTTTTATCATTGGTGTGGCAGGAATCCACTTATGAAAAGTGTCGTATAAAACACATCACGCACCCTTTCGTCCGTTCATTGTTTACCTACACGAGAGTCGTTTAATGAAGAGTCATGATAAAGTGCGTGACCTCTGTTGATGATAACAGGCATATAGGTGCGAAACGTCGCCGTTGGTGGATTCTCCGGGGTGCAATTACCGAGCTTGTTAAAGCGTTTGCAACCGAGTTTGCAATTAATACGCCACCATCCGCACCTTAATGATTCATTAAAACACAATTAAGTGCGAGTCGGGGCATCTACTGCAATGAAGGGTGGAAGGATTGGGGATGATTAGGGTTATCGGATGCGGTTGAGGAAATCTCCTTAACGGACCAAAGCGGCTTCCTTCTGTCACTTGTAGTAAGTACAGTAGAACCTCGTTAAATCGAAGTACCAATTGCCAAAAAAAGTTTCGAGATTTCGAAATAGAGATACTTTTTCTAGATTGTTTTATTTTAAATTCACAAAAATTAACTTCTCATGGCATAAAAATACATAAATAAGTACAAGAAAAATTTAAAATTATATACCAGAAGAATAAAAAGTATGGAACCATACTTGGAAAAACTAAGAATAAAATTTTGCTTTTGTTTTTGAGTTCTACAAGAATTTTAATTTTTTAAATTCCAACCTACTAAAAACTATTGTTCTCATAAAGATTATGATCTAATGATTGCAACTATCTACTTTAGTGTAATTTTTTCAAAAAAAAAAATACAACCACATTTTTTATTTTACCTTAATTTATATTAATTATTATTTTCTGTGATTTAAAAAAAACCGCTTGTAAAATGACTTGTAAATGATAAAAAAAATTTGATTGAAGTTTTAATTTTTTGGAGTTTAGCCGTGCTTGGTTAAAGATTAATTTCTAATATAATTTTAGTTTTCTGAAATCAAATATGCTTCGGAAATTTTCAAAAACTTATTTTACTGTAAAGTACCTTTTATGTGGTAAATATGACAAAAGTTATTTAAAAAATTTGTTCACAATCAACATCTAAGATTCCAAATTTCAAAATCATCGGCCAACTATGATTTTTCATTTTTTTATGTTTATTTAATAAATCAAAGGTTGTTATTTTTAACAGTGTTCTTTTATTATGAATAAGATAATTTCACACTTAGATTACACTAGCCAACAAGCATTTTGTGACTGAGAAGAAAACAGTTATTTTTTGTTTAATTCTATGTGCTAAACTCAAAAATGATAAAGAAAATTCCATAGCACGTCAAATTTTCAAGTTAGGCATTTTAAGATATCATATGTTCGACAAAATCGCCGAAAAACGAAACACTTAAAATTCATTTTCTCCATTCTCATTTAATTTTTTTCCCCCTAATTTGGGTGCCGTTAGTGACGAGCAAGGGGAAAGGTTTCACCAGGATATATTGACGATGGAAAAGAGGTACCAAGGAATATGGGATTCAGCTATGATGGGGGATTACTGCTGGTTCCTGATAAGGGAAGTTAAAACATCCTACAAAAGAAAGTCAGCTTTTGCAAAAAACTCATCTACAACAAATTTATGTTAAAATCTTATACATCTTTCAACATTGTTCTTGTTTAGTGAATAAATTGATTTCTTTCGTCGTCTATTTAATTAATTTCTATTTGAAATGAACAATTTTTACGATAAAATTTGAGAAAACTATTTTTCCTGTAACTTAAAATCTGTACGTGATGGAGAATTTTTCTTATCAAATTCGTAATTAGGGATGTTAATGTACCCTGATACACGTGTCAATAGATCAAACACATTAAAAAAAAATTAGTGGGTAATGTTATTACTACTAAATAACTTTTTAACGTATCTGTTACTAAAAAGCATAACTATTTTGGAAAAAACTAAAATCACAGTTGGCTGTTTTTTTTGAAACAGGCTGATGATTCTAAATAACTTTTTTTAATAACTATTTATCTTCGCTACATAAAAAACACTTTAGAGAAAAGTAGTGTTTTTTTTTTTAAATTCCAATGCATACTTGATTTTTTAAAACTAAAATCATGTTAGAAATTAGTCTTTAACTAAAGAGGGATGAACCCCAAAAACTGAAAATTTAAATCGAGGTTTTTTTATTTTTTACAGGAGTCTTTTTACCTATCCGGGAACGCACTGTATATATCTTATTGTCTTTGAGGTGACAGAAAAAAAACTTTTTTGAAAACTGTCTAATAGGTTTTGAAAAAGCTATCATAGACCTTAGATTTTGAGTAAATGATCGGAAGACATGCATACTGAAAAAATTTATTTAATGCGCATAAAGGAAAAATGCGGGAATTAAAAAAAAATGACGTTCGACTTAAAGTCGAAAATTGCTCGATATAGAGGTTCGAGTTATCGAGGTTCTACTGTAATTACCGAGACGCCTTATTATTATATTAGTGGAGAGGGGCGTCAATTGTGAAGGATAATTAAAATGATTGGATAAATTTTTGTTTCAGGGTTCCGACGCCAGCTCGGTGATATTCGCCTCGACGCCGGCGTCCAGGAAGCGGGAGTTCCCCGGCGCACTACCGCCTAGTTTACCATTGAGCAATGGCACGAGTAATTCCCCCGTTCCCGCTCCAACTCCCCCCAACCTCCCCGTACCGTCGCCGGCCCCCGCCCAGCAACCACCGTTGCACCCCCCGGCGAGCAGTACCGCCGCTCCTGGAAGCAACAATAAGCCGCCGGTGGGTGATGTTCCTGCCCCACCACCAGCTAGTGTTCCAGTCAGTGTGCCGCCGGTGACGATGCCGCAACCGGCGGCCGCCCCCATCGCCCATCATCCCGATTCGACGACCGGTGCCGCCACACATGCAATGAGAACGGATAGTCCGGCGGTGGCCACATCAGCTAATGTTCCGGTCGCACCCGGAACCGGCCAGTACCATCATCCCTCGTACCAGCCGTTGTATGCGCCCTATGCGGTACATACACCGGTACCACCACCAAGTACTTCAACGACGACGGTACCGGCGACGACGGCCACCACGGCGACGGTTAAAGCTCCCTCGCCGCGAGGGCATAGCCCTAACAGGGAACGGGAGAGTTACAGGTGAGGGATAATTGATTAGTACCAAGGTCAAGGTGAACTGGATTGTAATTGCTTGGCTTTAATCAGCTGTCATGGAATGAAGTAGCAAATGGAGGCCTTGATGAGGCTGTATTTACTCTGTAATTGCTACTTTATGAACAGCAAGGTGTTATCAAGTTTTAATAGAGATTCATTTCTTCAATTCCTGGTACTTGTCTGGAAATTGTATGTTTTGTCATGTACAATTGCGGACACGGAATTATGGACATCAAATTTATGTCAATTCAAAAAAAGGTTATTGTCATTATGATTGACATTTGAAACAAAAAAAAAATATTTTTAGCGTCGATACAATAATGCCAGTAGTACGTTTTTTATAAAATTTAATAAATTATTTTGATTTGCCTAGCTGTGAGGTTAGTTTCACATAAGGCCAGTTCTACATTTTTATATGAATCGAATGAAAAATCTGCCGCAATTGTATAACGACATATTATGTTATAAAAGGAAAATTTAATAAAAATACGTAGAAATATAAAGGATAAACGTTTCAGTGATAAACTCTGAAAGCATAACGTTTTTAGTAGAAAAAGAAAAAAAAAACGATAAAAGATTAAACAAATAAAAATTTAATATGTTTGTAAACAGAAGTTTGTGTTACTCATGCAAAAGTGCGTGAGTTGTGTTTAGAAATGTTGATCTGATAACATCAACAACTCGTAAATCATCAAGTTTAAAATTCGGGTATTTTATCAAGTTTTGTAAAGGAAACATAACAAAAAATACCAATTCAAAGAAAGAATCACCATTTTTCTACTAACAAAATTTAATAAAACACTAGTAACGGTGGTCAAATTCTACAGAATATGTCAAAAGGTGGCGTATATGTACCAATTGCAAGAACATTTGGGGAGACTAAGAAACGGGAACAAATTAAATGCACTACAAAAATAATAAATGCATAGTAAAGACAATGAATGAATGTCTAACAAAACTAATTAATTTAATATTCACACGATTACAAACAAAATGTTTCCATGCAAAATCGGAACGCTGATTAGACTGATTACCATTTGTGCACAGTTTCTACTCCTTGCTAAAATCATTCTTGCGCAGGGGCCCTTGCTAATACATATACTACCCTCCAATAATAATAAATATTCAGTAATATAAAAATAAGTACCAATAATAAATAACATTCTTGCGCAGGGGCCATACATTGTTATGCAACCAAGACTGAAAATTCTTTAAATTTTATGTTGTTTTACTAATTTTGATTAAAGTTACTGAGCGTTTATTATTTTTACTGTGCAAATTGAGTTTTTTTACTGAACAAATTACAATAAAATACTGTGCGTGCTTTACTTAGGATTTATTGTTTTTCTGTGCAAAATATTATATTATACTGATCATTTTTAATTTTTTATTGTGCAAAAATTAATTAAATATTGATCATTTAACATTTTAAACTGATTAAAATTGAATTATTTACAGATTGCTTTATACTACCACTAAGAAAGTATCAGAAATAGTGATTTAAAATAGAATTAAAAAAATATCTAGACTTACAATAAAACGTTTAAAAATTTCTTAGAGAAATTGAGAAATTGTCTCAATTGAGACTTTTCAAAATGTAGTGCTCTAACAGAGAGTTGAGGAGACTAATATACAAATATCGGCATAAATTTTTTTAGACTTGCAAAAAAATAGTATACTATTCAACGAGCACATAATGATGCCTATTATTCACGAAGGTGAAGTTTAAAAAACGAGTCGTAGACGAATTTTTTAATCCCCTGAGTGGATAATAGCCCTTACATGCGAGTAGACGACGTTTTATCTACGATCTTTTTGAATAAAACACTTTCTACTTACAAAATTTATATTAGTTATAATGACAGATCTGTGACTCATGATAAGTATGAATTATGAGTAGCATAATGAACCTATGATCGTAGATAAAAAAAAATTAATACTCAAATTTAAAAAATGTCAACCAAAACTTAAAAACATCGTGCTACTAAACAAAATCTAATAAAATATTGATTCACTTATGTTCATTACTCTTAAAAATTGTAAAATAGTTATTTTTGTAATTTGCCTCCGTTTTGATTCTCAAATAGACATATTAAAGAACGCGACGTCACTCGTTTTTTAAACTTGAATTCGTGCCTCAAGACTGGTTTTATGAAACTTGTTTTTTTTTAATATATCATTAAAGAATACAATAAAAAAAATCAAAATTTTAATGCGTTATGTGTTGTTTTTGAATTTGTCAAATGACCTTGAAGTTGGTTGTGATGATAAAAAAGTTTCTAAAGGAAAAATTTGTTTTAAAAGCGCAATTTTTGCAGTAGCAATGTCAGCAGTCTCAGTCGAGGCAGCGTGACTCCTCTGAGCTGTCCGCCCCCCACCACAGTGTCTTCTAGTCTAGCCATGAGCAAACCTTGGACGGGACCTACCCCGCAACTGAGTCCGGCGCCTCCTCGACCGACGCCGCCTCTGCATTCGTCTTTCCCACCACCGATGTTTACGGCACCTTTGCCACCGGTGTCGAGGGCAAGTCCGTTAACATCGGCGGTACAACCACCAAATCCAAATCCGTTTTCGGCGGAAAGTTTGTTCCAAACAAGTCAGTTGATTGATTTTTTTTGTGATAATTATTGTAAATTGTATGTTTTTTTTTAGATCAAGCCGATATGCTGCGGAGAGAACTCGATAATAGGTTTTTAGCGTCGCAGGATCGCAGCTTGGGAGTGGCGCCCCCACCGTACTTAAGAACTGAAATGCACCAGCATCAGCACCACCACACACACGTGCATCAACATACGACGTCGCTGTTGCCACCTCCGGGTGCCTCATCGCTATTCCCATCACCATTGGTAAGATTTAAGCAAAAAAAACTTGTATTTGTTTATTACCAGCAAATTTTTTCGAAAATTACGAGTAAATTAATTATGTTTTCGATTAGACCGTATCACCAATGGAACGCCTAGCGAGACGAACTGGCAGCAGTGTGAGTATAAATTTTACTACCAAAATGAATTTCTTGTGTGTATAATGTGACATTTGCCGGCAATTTTGCAAAAAATTTGCAGGTAAAACATATACAGTAGAACCTTGTTAAGTCGAAAAGATTAATTTCTAACATTATTTTAGTTTTGAAAAATCAAGTATGTTTTGTAAATTTTTAAAAAACTTGTAATACTGTAAAGAGCTTTTTATGTGGAAAATACGACGAAAAATTTATTAAAAAAGTTGCAGTCAGGCAAGATTTATCATTACGGATATTGATATCAAGTAATGATATTAATGAATTTTGAAATGAGATTAGTGTAAGAAAACCCCCCTAAACTCCCCAGTCTAGCACCACTACAGATCTTCCGCCTCGTAATTTAATGAATTATTATTTATTAAGTTATTATTTTTGATGTTATAATGAATTTCGTTAGTATTGAGACATTTCCGAACAACATTACAAGTTTTTAAAAGGATTGCTTTTTGAATCTCAATACAGAATTTAATTTTCAAATTTCAATATTAATTTTCAATTGTTTGGTAGCAGCCTCGTTTTCTACAAATTTTGAAAAAGAATTTGAGAAATAATACATTTTATCTAAAACAACTAATTTCTATTTATAATTTAATAAATACTTGCTGTTGCACTCAAAAATCACAAATTCACACACTTCACTTTGCGATAAACAAAAGAAAAAATTAAAATTCACTAACCTTTATGGCATCTTCTTCTGCTACCTTTTGTAGCAATTTGCCTCTGCTTCCTAAACGGACTTACTGAAAATAAAGAAACACAAAATCAGTTTAATGTGTTACTAAATCAGTTGAAAATATTAAATAAAATTTAAATGAGATTTTTCTAATAAATTAAAAGTTATTGTTGACTTACCTTTTAATCCGGATCCTTGTATCACGATTGGCTTCTCCATTCTCCCATTGGCACTCACTAATCACTCGAAATTTAAAAAACGCGAACTACTAAATGCCTATTAGGCACTCGAAAATACCCAACACGCCCCCATTTCTACACAATTAATTGCGCACTAAACCACGAAATAAATAATTTATTCGGAGATTTATTACAATTCAAGTAACTCCTACGGGAGCTTGGCTAAGACTGACTCGTTATTGTAATAATTCTCTCAAAAATGTCACAAAAACCATTTCGTAACAGTTTTGGTGTAAAAGATTTTTGTTCAAGACTGCTTAATCCCGCATTTGCAACGTCATAAAATAATTTGAATATTACACAATTTCATGTTCATCATTTTTTGCGCCCCTTACAGTCGTACGATTAATGATATGACGTCAAGATGCTAGGATCTGATCTACGGGATAGCGTCGTAATGCATCCAAACAACTTTTACCGTTTTCTAAATCAGTTGTCATATTTGCTACATAAAAGGACTTTACAGAAAAATGGTGTTTTTTTCTAATTTCCAAAGCATACTTGATTTTTTGAAACTAAAATCTTGTTAGAGATTATAGTCTTTAACTAAACAGGGCTGAACCCCAAAAATGAAAATTAATTTTACATCGACATTTTTTAAATCTTTTACAGGAGTCTTTCAGCTATCCGGGGACACACTGTATATACTTTATTTATTTGTCTTCGGGGTGACATTAAAGTTTTATTAAAAACTGTCTAATATACAGGGTGTATCAGAAATACGTGTGTTAATTTTACACACATTTCGATAAATAATACATTTTTTCCTATTTGTAATTTTTCAATAAAAACTTTCAAATTTGATTTGATAACATATCAAAACGTACACCCGCCTATGGGTATCAAATTAAAAATTCCGAAATATTTTCGTTGTGATAGAAACATTAAAAGAACTGCATTGTTGTGATTATTTATTAACACTGAACGGCTCGTTTAAACAAAATTATGGGGGAAAACAAAAACAATTTTTTATACTTTTTTATATAGAAAAGTTGTTTTATTAGGTGAGTTCTTTCACGTGTTAAAACACTTGTATTTCTGATTCACCGTGTATTTTTCCTTATTTTTTCGAAAAAGTGGGAATTAAAAAACGAATCGACTTAAAAAAATACTTTGATTTTTCTTAGTAAATGCTCGGAAATTTCGAGTTATCGAGGTTCTCCTGTACTACACATGATTTGTGATTCAATGTGATTTTTTTACTTAATTGTTGTTTTAGTTTAAGGATATCCCGAAAATGGGCGGTGTTGAGTCGCCTTTTTACCGACAAAACATCGGTATGTCGAATTATCCTGGATACACACCTGGATTAATTCATCCGGGCCTAACGGCTGGTCCTACGCCGTTTGTGCCCCCAAATCACCTGTCAACGTTTCAACCAAAGGTATTTTCGTATGCCATCATGCATAATTGTGCTTAACGACACACTTATTAACGTGAATATTAATATAACTAATGCTTTACTAACGCAAATGTTTCGATGGTATGTGTCATTGCTTGTTTTTATCACATTTGCGGGGTATTCCAAGTCGTAAAAAATAATAATTGTCGATAAAGTGTGTCGTGGAGTTGTCATCATGCTTGCGGCATGCCAATGTGCACTAACAGGGCATGCCTTGCCACCCCTAACGCTTTTCTTTGTCCACAGTCGATGCCCACAGACCCGACCAAACCAAAACCGATGGTACGTAGCTTAAATCGCGCTTTTATGCCTTTCATTATCATTTTTCATCCGTCGTTTTGTCGATTTTTCAATCAATTAATTTTCAGAAAACCGGAAAATGGAACGCGATGCACGTCAGAGTCGCCTGGGAGATCTACCACCATCAGCAGAAGAGTGGCGAGGCGAAGGGTGGCAGCGCCGCCAAATCGGAGCTTTTGAGGCCCCCGTCGCACCTTTTCTCGCCAAGTGTTCACGCCGGTCGCCCCCATGACATCCCCTTTCCGCCGTCCCTGGCCTCGCATCGGCCCCCCGGGTTCGAGCAGCCGCATCCCAGCTCTCTGTTTACGCCACCCCCAAGTCATTTAGGAAAATCGCCGTTTGCGGGAAGCACCATGTCGCCCTTCACCAGGTGAGGGTTTATTTTTTTGTGATGGTTGAAAAAATTGTGTGTGTAGGTATGGTAGTGGTTTCGGGTCGGCATCGACGACGTCTCCGTTTGGGGTTTCGCCGTTTAGTAGTACAAGGGATTTGGGATTGGGGCCGTTACATGATCCCTGGCGGGGATTGCAAAGGACCGTACCGAATTTCCCACCGAGTGTTAATGCTTTACCGCCGACTTTGCCGGGTTTACCGCCGCCAACTCCGTGGAATATTAAGCCGGATCCAATACTGGAACAACGGGAGAGGGAAGCGAGAGAACGCGAAGAGAGGGAACGGGAGAGATTGAGGAGGGAAAGAGAGGAAAGGGAGAGGAGGGAGAGAGAAGAGAAGCAAAGGCGACTTGAGCAACAGGTATTTTGACGTTACAAGTCTGGGATTCCCCCATTTCTGTATCATATAAATAAATCAAAGAAATGCCACTGAACCATGGTCTTTGACTGTATTTTATAAAAAAAGAAAATAAAAATTTGTCTATTTTCTTAGCTAAAATTAGTGAAATCCCTTTTTGTGTTTGTTTAAATTCTTACAATTTGTTCATCAATTTTATGTAAAAGTGGTATTGTGTATTTGAACTGTGAAGAAACAAAATATCAAAAAAAGTTTAAAACAAGAAAAAAAAATAGTTTGACATATACCTACTGTGATTTTAGTACTAGAAGAAAATATAATTTTTAAAAATAAAACACATATCTTGTAAATTTTGGTAGAGAGATATTTGTGGTTAAAATTGAGCCACTTGATTTTGAATCACTCCATATATTAAATTAAAAGTAAAAACAATGTCTAAATCAAAAAAGTATGTCTTTTGTCTAAATGTCAATGGCCATATTTTTTCTTAATTACACGTGTAAGTAACCAATGAACCATATTTTTTCACACTATGAAATAACGGTTCAGCAGATTTATCACTTTTGTATTTGTTACTATTGCGACTAGGTATTTCTTCCAAAAATTTAATTTTTTCAAGCTGAAATTGGTAAAATACTTTTTGTGTATGATTTTAGTGCTGTAAATATCTTATTTATTCGTCAATAATGAAATAATGAAAATTATTTGAAGTTGTTTTTCTGTAAAGTGTCAGATAACTAAAATTTTAAGCCATAAAATAAAGATACTTTAATACAATTATTTTACATAGAATAAAAAGATGTCAACTCACTTCAACACTGGGAAAAATTGGAATTAGTAAAATAAGACATAAATCTACTAAATACTTGTTATTTGCCAATTATTAAAAAAATTCGTATCTCTTGCCAAAATATTACTTTCGCCGCCATATTTTTTTTATAAATTGCACGGGAAAGTAACCACTGAACTATGTTTTTTTTTATATCAGATAATGGTTCAGCAGATTTATCACTTTCGTTACCATTGAATCTGTTTTTTCATTAAAAAAATAGAGACAAAAACACAATTTGTCTTTTTTCAAGCTGTTTTTAGTACTCATTTGTTGGCCAATGTCGCGTGAAAGAACTATTTGAAGTTATGTTTCTGTTAAATGTTAAATAAGTAAAATTTTAAGCAGAAAAATAATACTTTAAATACCATTTATTTTACATAAAATCATCAGATGGTAAAAATTACAATAAAAAATTAAAACACAAAATAAGAATAGATAGGCAGATACTGTCAATTGTCACTTCAAAAATAAATAAAATAAAACACAAATCTACTAAATACTTGTCATTTTGTTACCATTTTATTAAAAAAAGAACATTAGTCTTTTTTAAACCTGAAATTGATTAATAAATCGCGTATGTGTTTGCTTTTAATGTCAAATGTCATTTTTACTATTTATTAATGTCCCTTGAAAGTATTATTTGAACAGTTATAAATGACATAATTCAAATTTTAAGTAGAAAAAAAGTTAAAAGCATGTTACCAAGATTTGTAAATGCTTTAAATACACAATATGTTGCACAAAAACCTTGTAAAATAAAGTAAAAAAATAGTAAAAAATGTTTTTAAATAAAGAAATCGTTCAGTAGATACTGTCACTCGACTGTCACAAAAAAATGGATTAATTGGTAAAATTAAACACCAATTTTATAAACACTGTGCTTATTGTCGTTTGTATGTTAAAATTGATTAAAATTTTTATGTTTAATTTGTTGCAGCAACAGCAGGAGCGCGAGCGTCGTGAGAAAGAGCGTCGCGAGCTCGAGCGCCGCGAGATGGTGGAGCGCGAACGTGAACGTGAACGGGAGCGTGAACGTGAGCGCGAACGCCTCCTCCACCAACAGCGATTGGCCGAATCCGCCAAACAGCTCGCACCTCCCGTCATGCGTGACCGTTCGCCCCTCCGCAACGGCCAACCCGACCCCGATATCCGCGTCAAGGAGGAGCCCCGATCGAAAGAAGAAGAACTACTGGCACGCACCGACCACCGCTACCACCCATTCCTCCGCCATCCGCCGCTTCAACCGCCACGGATGCTCCCACACGGCTTATCGCATTATGCGCCGCCTCCACCGCCCCCGCCTTCCAGTCATTGGCCGCCAACGACCGACCCTTTCTACCGGTACGACTCGTTGCGGTACAATCCGCTAGTGGACGCGATGAGGGCCGAAGAAGAAAGAGCGAAGTTGTTTGGGGCTTATGGGGCGCAGTTGCGGAAAGACCCGAGTTTGATGCATTTGAGACCGCCGCCACCCCCGACGGCACAACATCACAAAATCAGTGTTACGCCCCCGACGGACTTGCACAAGAAGGAGGAGCCCCGATAGCAAATGCCGTGTGATAGTTAAGAGCACGCAGGGATGGATCATTTTCTAAAAAACGATCGTGCTTCGGTGATATTATAGTATTGTTTGTGTCTTGGTTTACTTTTAGAAAGTGGTCCATTGTTACGATTTTTTTTTATTTATTTATTTTCACAATTGTACTAATGTTTTGGAGAAATTATATCGTAGGGATCTTTCATGACCAGACCACACACCGAGTAACTCGACGATAGCGACGGGGAACAAAATTTTGACACGCAAATTCACTAATTAAGTTGGCAACAATGAATAATGTACAATTGTGAGCACTAAATTTTGGTAGTCAATGTCATTGTCTAACATGCTCTCTTGTGGATGTCAATTAGCTGTCCTGAAATCATCTCCACCATGATTATTATTTTCACTTTGTTAAAGTAAAATAAAATATTTGTCAGTTAGTGGGGTGGTGTTTTGACATATACAGGGCGTTCCGTTTTTATTGTTACAAACTTAAACAGGTAACAGAATATTCAATTTTAAGACAAAAGTTTCCTATAAACATGTATCAAAAAATGTTACAGAATAGATAAAATTACAACAGTTGGCACAGCTGATTACTTTTAAACACCTGAACGAATTTAAAGATCAGTTGTCAAAATTTTTAATCACGGGTTTCTTAACTGGTGATACAAATTTTAACTTTTAATTTTTATCCTCTTTATTGTAAACTGATTTTACTCAAAAAGTTTTATCGAAAAAACGCAAGAGACCTCTTTTTTGTGAAAAACTATGAAATTTAGAATTTTGAGGCTGAAAGTGACAAAAACCAACCGCCAAAATCGTTAGGGTACTTTTTACCCTAAACCCCCCAGTTCAGGACGCCCCTGAGTAAACTGAGTAAAAATTTCAACATTTTATCTTTGAATTCATTTGGGTGTATAAAGGTTATCAATGGTACGCAATTTTGTAATTTTATCTACGATGGTTTCTGAAATATTGGAAAAAATCTATTAAAAGATGCACCCCTTTCAGGCGATGTGGCTCCCTTATATAAAATTTTTTGATGTATGTTTATAGGAAACTTTTATCTTAAAATTGAATATTCTATCGCCTGGTTAAATTTGTAACAATAAAAATGGAACACCCCTGTATATTTTCTGAAAGAACAGCAGACAAAATTACACAGGGAAAATTCTTTTTTTTTTTTTTGACAAAAAGATAAAGTTTCAAAATGACATTACCTACCAAAATTTAATGCCCACAATTGCATATAATTTTGAGTCAAGTAGGCCATAATTCTTAGTTTGGCAACATTGTCGAATGTCGAATTTTGTAGACAATTCAGTATCACAGATAATTCAGTGTCACCAATAGATGTTTTGTTACAAACTTACGGGTAAATGACTGATTTTTATTCTCAAGTTGGCATCAATCTGAGTTTATCACATTCGAACGTTAAATTGCCATTCATTTCATCAAAGGATTAGCAGTTTTTCAGTGTTGCCAATGGAGTTGTTATCTGGTATTATGCAATGTTGTCAACTTAACTTGAAAGTCACAGGCCCCTTTGATCGGAAATTTAATTCAATACTACCAGACCAAAAAACATAAACGATGTTATTTTTCAAAAAAACTTATGAATTGGCTTCCTGTGGATAGCTCGTTGGCATTTTGGAGATTAATTTTGTTCCTCGTCGAAATCCGTCTTCCATGATCTCATTATAATAGCATAATCAAAAAATAGTAAGGGGGCTATCGTTCCTAGAAATATTTTTGCAGTGGTTTTGTATGTATAATGTGTAGGTTTTATGCATATAGACAGCCGTGAGCATCCCTAATAAAGCACCCATTTGGACAACGTTGACGCGTCAAGTTGTCCATTTGAGTGAAAAACTGCCTGAAATATTGTAAATAAATTCCAAGAGGAAGAAAGTAACAGCTTGTGGACGTAAAAGCCAAGATATCTTGTTTGTTAAACTTATTTATTTGTGTACATTTTTTTTAAGTAATTTATTTAAGACTGATGACTTTTCATCGTTTTACATATGCATAGCTCATTTATTTATACATAATTAATTTGTAATTTATTTTTCGTTCGTGTTGTTTAATGGGGGCCGGTTTTAACGACGCAATAAGAAAATTTTCATCAACTTGAGGGCGCCCCATTATGCGTGCCACTGTGTCCGGTAGCTTTCGATTTATTTAATCTGTTAATACTCAGTGCCAAAATTCGTTTTGTTTTGTACATAGAGTATCATGTGGACCAATTTTACGTTCTTTGAACCGGTACTCTGGCACGTAGTGTTCTGTTTTATCGAGGGGTGGCGTGATTTTACCCCGGATTCGTGACGAGGTAGCTTGTAATATAATTAAGTCATAATCGCGTGTAGATACCCGCCTTGTCATTTCGATATAATGTAGATAAATCACTGTGCTCTATTTAATGTTTGTTAGGAGAAAAAACAATTTTTTATGTGTACGATTCTAAAAGAATCGAGTGATGTAATATATAATAAATATTGTTTCTATGATATTAGAAACATTAGTCATAAAAAAGCTTTATTCAATTTCCCCTTTTAGTAATGAAAAAAATTACTCGACTTGTGTATATTTTTTGTTTAAATCTTATTTACAGTTTTATTCTTACAACTACTTTACTTCCTGTACCACATTTGTAGGGCATTGTACCTTTTGACCTTCTTCTGGAGCTGTAAGACTCCATACAGCAGGGCTTCCGCGGTCGGGGGACACCCCGGGACGTAAATATCAACAGGGATGATCCGGTCGCACCCCCTGAAACACCCCATCAAAACCTCTCCTTTCTAACCACTCACCCACCTAACAACCGAATACGAATAATGGTAATATCCGCCACCATTGGCACAACTGCCCATCGAAATCACCCATCTGGGTTCGGGCATTTGATCGTAGACCTTCCGCAAAGCCGGGGCCATCTTATTCGTGAGTGTCCCTGCAATTATAATAACGTCTGCTTGTCGTGGCGAGGCTCGGAAAACGACTCCGTATCGGTCCATGTCGTATCTGGGGGCCGCAATGTGCATCATTTCGACGGCGCAGCACGCCAGACCGAACGTCAAAGGCCACATGGAGCTCTTGCGGCCCCAATTGAGGAGGTCGTCGAGACGGGCGAGGGAATATTCGGCCAAGTTGCTGGTTTTCTGGAACGGGGAGTAGGGCCGGGGGGCCACTTCGGTTGACTGGTTTCGAACAGGCTGGGCGAAGGTGCCGGCAATGCGGAGATTGGGGGCGAGAGCGTCTTTAATGGGGGCCAAGGCTGAACGCAACATCTAAAAAGTTTGAGGTTAGGGTGGCTTTTTGTAACTGTGAGGCCGGAAATTTGACTCGATGGTACAACAAATGATAAATTTTGATTTTTACCTTGGATTGTTCCAGTCACAGCAGTGTTTTTGTTAAATATAGCTGTTTTACGTAACAAGGAAATTTTGACGTTTGTGGTGGTTGACAAAATGTGACAGCTGACAGGTTTTTTTTAATATTGAAAAAAATTGTACATTTATTGAATAGAAAATTAAGACACTGTAAAGGATTCTGATAAGTATCAGAAACTTATAAAATCATATTTTTTTAATAAATTAGATTTTTTTGATGTATTTTGTGTTGCCTATATTGTAAATGCACAGGCGCAAATACGAGTATGCCCCTGAAGATGTACGAAACAAACGAAAAATCACTTAGCTAAATAAATTTTTCTTACTTATTTGAGTAGTTTTTATTTCCATCACCTGTTCTACTTACAAAACCTAAGACAAAAATGCGATTTCAAGCAATAAACTTTATTACTGTGAAAGGTACAAAAGTAAAATACTTTCATTATCACAATGAACAAAATTATGTTCCGTCCCCACGCTCAGAATGATTTGAACCACCACATCGAGGAAAACATCAATAAACATCAACATTTCAACCAGCCAGGACAGGATATGTTCAAATTAAACTGAAGGAAAAAGGACAACAAACGAAACAAAATTTAATGTCCCCCATTCTGAATTTTAATCTTTTTTTTATAGGGCTCATTGCTCGCTTCATCTTTCATTAAGAATGGCACTTTGTGCTCAAGCAACATGTTCGAATCCGGTGGCAAGCCCAAACAAGCTTTCATCACGTTCTCAATACAAGCTCTTTGTCTGAAAAGAGCATTGACGACGGGAGTGTTGTGGGGCACCAAAGGGGCCTTGCAGAGGTAACTCAAAAGCGACAAAACACAATGGAACCCCACGTACTCTCGGTCACCTTCGCCTTGTCTCTTGAGATGGATCCTCGAGCACAGCTCGGCTAAAATGATCAGATCTAGGATAATAGGGGTGGCCAAAAGCGAATCCTCGCAAGTGTTATGGACCACGATGGTATTGGTCCCACCCATCATTATCTCGGAAGTGTACTCGTCCATAGCACGCTTCGAGTCGCCTAAAAATAATAATTAATGCGAAATCACAAATCACAAAAGTCACTTACCGACATAAGGAACATATTTTATGACAACCACGTGATCCGGTTTTTCCCCCGGTTTGTATAGAATGTCATTGGAATTGACCATATCGTCAACGACGTTACTTTTCGAGATCTGTGGACCAAAAATGTGAAAAAAATAACTAAACCAAGTCAGGGATTACCTCCTTAGAACGAAATTGTTTCGGTGCCGACAGATTCTTCCCATCATTGTTCCCTAAATGATTATAACTTACAATACTCGTGGGTTTAATCCCAGCACTGACCAGAAAATCGACCAAAACACTCTTGATTTTCGTCTGTCCCGACTTGAAATCGTCTCCCGAGATAAAAACGTTGTTTTTTTCCGCCATTTCGATGATTCCTGGTACGAAAGTGTTCTGTGGGGAGCCGTTGATGTAAATGCAGTGCATAGAAATCGCAGCGTAAGCGAAGAGAGTCGATGGGGCGATTTCTGGATGGTTTGAGGAAATTGCCAGTTTTAGATTAGCATAAGTGTCGTTAATGCCTTCTAAAACTTCAGTGAAACGTTCAGTGTTTGCCGTCCATAAAATTATGACCTTATCAACGTTTGTTTTTTTCTTGAAATTCTCGATGTCTTGGCAGATTTTCTGCACCTGTTCGAGTTTAGTTCCTTTGATGATGTTGTCGGCGCGAGACGCCTGAAAATTACATCAAGCGCCGATTGACAAGCAAGTAAATAACAAAATATTTTTTTGTAAATTAATATTTAAAAAATTGAATTTTGTGCATGAAATTATGAAATAATGTTAATAAACGAAGCTAATGAGTCTCATTTTAGAAAATCAATAGAAAACAATTAAGTTTCAAATATTTAAATGTCAATAAACGAGCAGAGATCGATGATACAATAAATTAATTATTTCACAAATAGCAATTATTTCTTTTTAAAACGTTCAACATTTATTTATATACAGCGCCCATATTGAATAATATATTTTTTGGACTATGATACAATGAATAGATACTGTGTTCTATGCCAACCAGGAATAAAGGTCAAGTTCACTATTTAAATATTTGTTAATATGCATACTTATAAATTGTAATATAAAGCATTCAAAATTTCATTATTTATTTATTTAATTCTGACGGGTGATTTTTAACATTTTTGGCCAAAAATAGGACATAAATTTTACCTAATTTTTTAATTATAAAAAAGCAATAAATACATAAGCAGTCTCTCAAAAAATTGCCGACCATAAAAAAATATTACGCAATATTTATTTATCAACTATGTAAAAATAAAGATAGCCTCGTCTATTTACTCAAAAAACGTACAAAGTCGACGAAATGTGTCATACTGAAGTGGGTGATCAAATTTTTTATAAAATCTTTATTTCATGAAAACAACATTAATAAAATTAAAGACATCCCAATAATTAATTCTACCAAAAATTTTAAAAAACGCAAATAAATAATTGTTCAGTTATTATTTATTGAAAACGTATTTGATAATGTTAACCAGGGAACAATGTAGTATTAATGTAAATAAAAAAAACTAAAAATAATTATAAGGCTTTTAAAAACACAGCTTTAATGTTTTTTAATGTTTCCACCGACAAAAATTTACCTCAAAATAGCAAATATTGTTTTTAAACTCTTATCACGAAGGTCGCAAAAGTGACAAAAAATCGATTGGCAACATTGAATTACAAATTAGTAATCCTTTTAATTTGTTATTAGATTTCAAGTAATTTTTGTTTTCAATAAAATATTGGAAAATAAAACAAAAATACTAGTTTGTTTTCTTGAAAAATTAGTTTTATCTAAAACTAATTTTAAGTTTATCTAAACTACCGGGTGACTATGTATTAATGTTTGTAAAAAAAAGTCTATTGGCAATACTGAGTTAACGATAATCTTTCTAATTTGTTATATCAGACTTTCAGGTGACGGCTGCTAAATTAGCAGTCGGCCGTCGCACATGAATGACAATTGCCTATAATTGAATTTGAAAGTCAAGGTTGCCAAATTAAAATTTTAATTTTGACACCAACTTGAGGTAAAAAATCACAATCATTTATAGTCATCCGGTATAATGCAGAATAGCTAATAAATTTTTCTAAGAACATGTCGTTTATTTTTAATTAGCATTTTGATATTGAAGCACTTATTTTCACATTATTTCACAAAAAAGTTCCATTCAGGGCGCTAGTTTTTAAAATTTATGGCATCTGTCATAAAATTGAAATTTTGAGGGTTATTAAAAAAGCTGTTGAAAATTACGTTCAGTCGTAAATTTTCTTCAATTATTGAACCTTTTGATCAAAAAATTTACAACTTAGTAAACCATAAATTAGGTTAAAATCCCCGAAAAAAATATATAAAAATGCATTTTATATTTTTTATACAGGGTGTGTCAGAACTCGCATCCCAGATAAGAATACCATGTAAAGTAAGATACCAAGAACATGGAAAAAATTAAAAATTCTATCTGTCGAAAAATTTTGACATTTGACATTTTTTTATGTCTATTTAATGATCTTGTATATATGTTTTTTTTTTTATAATTATTTAGTAAAGATACAAACATTTTTCCAATAAAAGCCACAAATAACATTACACAGAGTGACAATTTAGGATACATTTTTAAACTCTTATAACTTCGATATTTTTATAGATAGAATTTTTTCCATGTTAATACCATGTTCTCTGGGGCGCGAATTCTGGCGCACCTGTATATTTTGTAACCCATGTTGATTATTTGATGTAAAAAATCACGTAATGACATGTTTTGGTAGAATAATTTTTTATGAACAAATAGTTATTTTTGATACAAGATGAAACACAGTTTTTGCGAAGAAATCATATTGTCGTTTCCGTACGAGGTAAAGCCGAGTCTAGAATAGCAGATGAGTCTGTAGAAACTTTTTAGCTACGTGTTACAAACAATATTTTTTTGTTAACGCTACTAAAAACACGTTGAAACCGCTTAATTAATGTGATTAATGTGACCACAGCAAATATTTCTTCCGCTTTTAATTTTTTCGTCTGCAAAAACAGCATTTTAAGTACTTATTGTACCGAAAATAACTATTTTTTTTATTAAGTCCGAAAAAGACTCATTTAAATGAGTTCCTAAAATATTAATTTAATGTAATATAATTAGGTACTTATGTATTTTTTTTACTTTAGACCAATTACAAACGTCTCTTAATTTTTTCAATGATTAAATAAACAAGAAACTTAATTTTTTTTTGAAAAAAAAAACACCGATTTCTGAAATTTGCAGTGTTTTTTTAAAATTTTAAAGCACAAACGTATTTTTTGGTCACAAACCTGATTTGCTGCAATGAAATCCTTATCGTAGATGGAGGGTCTTGGCTTCAAAGCCGCCATTTGGGCCTTGAGCTGTTGTTGAAGTCCCGGTTCTAAAACTTGTGCCCTTTCCATCGATTCGGCCAAATTGGCCGAACTGATATCCCACCCATCAATCACCAAATCATCGGGATGCACCGTTGGTAGCAATTTACCCAATGGTACATGAACATCGCCCAATGTAACCGTACTAGCTTGGGTAATAGACCCATACCAGTTGGCTTTCTGGACCCCCTTTTTGGTCTGCCAAGACAGCCCCTCCTTGTTGGCCAAAACGGCCGCCGTGAAAGTACTCCCGTTATTGCCACCCCAACCAACCAGCATCACCCCCACACGGGGCACCTTGCTCTGGGTCCGGATCACCAGATGTTCGGTAAGGGGGGTGACCTAGAAACCACGTGTTTTGTTACTTTGCCCAACATGTGGAAAACTGGATATTCTAGAATCAGCTGTTGGGAGTATTGATTTTCCGGCCGGCGCTCGCGGAAAATTCCACCGCTGAAATTTTCTTATCACACACTCTGGGGTCTTACCTCGATTTTGTTCCCCTTTTTCTCGGCTTTGGTGTATAAATAGTCGTAATTCGCTTCGATGTAATTGTCGGAGTATTTCACCTTGGGGCTGTTGACGACAATTTCCATTTTTTTTCCACTTGTTTGACTTTCTTAGCGAACGAAAATTTGAACTGGAACAGAAAACGAGCACTTTTGGAGCGCCACAACTTCCACAAACGGAAACAACGTTGTTTGAACGTCTACTGAACTTGAAACGCGAAGCTTGATATTACATCGCACTTCGCGGATAACTCGGGAACGGCGGCGCAGCTATTTTTGAAATTATCGACGCATTTTCGCTCAATAATATCGATAATCGAAGCTTTAAGCTTAGAAAACTAGAAAAAACAATATCAAATTTCTCGTTTTGGGGAGTTTGAAAACACAAACAGCTCCAAAAAAAAAATTCTTTCAAAGATTTAAAAGCTGTGAATAAAATTCCCATGGTCAAAATTCATACTTAAAAAATGTAATTTCTAAATTAAAAATAACAGAAAGTAACAAATAAAAAGCAAAACGTGAAAAAAACCTGTTTTTTTTTTAATTTTTTATGGTAGTTTAAAAATTAAGGTTTGTTGCTTGTTCACACAAAATTATAGCCACTTCGAAATTATCAACGCATTTTCGCTCAATAATATCAAAAATCGAAGCTTTAACTTACCGAAAACTAAAAAAAACAAAGTCAAAGTCCTTGTATTGGGGAGTTTGAAAACACAAACAGCCCCAGAAAAAAATTCTTTCAAAGATTTAAAACGTGTGAATAAAATTCACAACTTCAAAATTTATACTTAAAAAATGTAATTTCTAAATTAAAAATAACAGAAAGTAACAAATAAAAAGCAAAACGTGAAAAATACCTGTTAAAATTTTTATGGTAGTTTAAAAATTAAGGTTTGTTGCTTATTCACACAAAATTATAAGGTTGCATAAAGCTTTTTTCGAAATTATCGACGCATTTTCGCTCAATAAAATCGAAAATAGAAGCTTTAAGCTACTGAAAACTAGAAAAAACAAAGTCAAAGTCCTCGTTTTGGGGAGTTTGAAAAGACAAACAGCTCAAAAAAAAATTTCTTTCAAAGATTTAAAAGCTATGAATAAAATTCCCAGCGTCAAAATTCATACTAAAAAAATGTAATTTCTAAATTAAAAATAACAGAAAGTAACAAATAAAAAGCAAAACGTGAAAAAAACCTGTTTAAATTTTTATGGTAGTTTAAAAATTAAGGTTTGTTGCTTGTTCACACAAAATTATAAGGTTGTATAAAGCTATTTTCGAAATTATCGACGCATTTTCGCCCAATAATACCGAAAATTGAAGCTTTAAGCCAACGGAAACTAGAAACAACAAAGTCAAAGTCCTCGTTTTGGGAAGTTTTAAAACCCAAACAGCTCCAGAAAAAAAAAATTCAACGATTTAAATAAAAACTGTGAATAAAATTCACAGTGTCAAAATTCTTACTTAAAAATTGTGTAATAATTAGCAAATCGGTATGTAATTTCTAAATTAAAAATAACAGAAAGTAACAAATAAAAAGTTAAACGTGAAAAAAACTTGTTTAAATTTTTATGGTAGTTTAAAAATTAAGGTTTGTTGCTTGTTCACACAAAATTATCAGGTTGCATAAAGCTATTTTCGAAATTATCGACGCATTTTCGCCCAATAATACCGAAAATCATCGAAGCTTTAAGTCTAGAAAACTAGAAAAAACAAAGTCAAAGCTCTCGTTTTGGGGAGCTTGAAAACACGAACAGCTCCAAAAAAAAATTCTTTCAAAGATTTAAAAGCTGTGAATAAAATTCACAGGATCAAAATTCACACTTAAAAAATGTAATTTCTAAATTAAAGATAACAGAGAGTAACAAATAAAAAGCAAAACGTGAAAAAAATCTGTTTCAATTTTTATGGTAGTTTAAAAATTAAGGTTTGTTGCTTGTTCACACAAAATTATGAGGTTGCATAAAGCTATTTTCGAAATTATCAACGCATTTTCGCTCAATAATATCAAAAATCGAAGCTTTAAGCTACCGAAAACTAGAAAAAACAAAGTCAAAGTCCTCGTTTTGGGAAGCTTGAAAACACAAACAGCTCCGGAAAAATTTCTTTCAACGTTTTAAAAGCTGTGAATAAAATTCACAGCGTCAAAATTCATACTTAAAAAATGTGTAATAATTAGCAATTCGGTATGTAATTTCTAAATTAAAAATAACAGAAAGTAACAAATAAAAAGCAAAACCTGTTTTTTTTTAATTTTTTATGGTAGTTTAAAAAATAAGGTTTGTTGCTTGTTCACACAAAATTATCAGGTTGCATAAAGCTATTTTCGAAATTATCGACGCATTTTCGCCCAATAATACCGAAAATCGAAGCTTTAAGCCACCGAAAACTCGAAAAAACAAAGTCAAATCCAGTTGGGTCCTTGTTTTGGAAAGTTTGAAAACACCAACAGCCCGAGAAAAAATTTTTTTCAACGATTTAAAAGCTTTGAATAAATTTCACAGCGCCAAAACTCATACTACTAAGTCTTAAAACATGTTTAATAATTGACAATTTAGTGTGTAATTTATAAATTAAAAATAATAGGAACTAACAAATGAAAAGCAAAACGTAAAAAATAGTTATTTATTATACAAGGCGATAAAGAAATTGTTTATCTACGAGTGAAAAGGTTATTTTTACGAGTGACGAAGTCACGAGTGGACTCTTTCACGAGTAGATAAACAATCTTTATCGTCGTGTGTAATATTTCGTTTTATTTTGTACTCAGCTACCAGAATTTCTTGAATATAAACAGCATATAAAAATTATTTTATTTCACTAAACGATAAAAGACTACTTTATCTATTGAAATTAGTTGATAAAATATACACAGTATATAAAAATTACTTTATTTCACTAGACGATAAAAGACTACTTTATCTACTGTAATCAGTTGTTAACTTATTTTATTCATTTAAATTCACAAATTTCATCATCCACGAGGTGGAATAAAACTCAAACGAGTTGAATACACCATTTTATTCTTCGAATAAGACTCAACAAGGCTTAAACTTGCTTTAAATTTGTTAAAAATAATCTGACGTTTCGTATGAAAAATGCCAAAAATTGTAATTTTTTTTTGAAATTTTATTTTTTCTCTTAAATTTTAAGTCCTGCTACAGAAAAAAATGTTGTAATATACACGATGATAAAGATTGTTTATCTACTCGTGAAATAAGTCCACTCACTCATGAACTTAACTTTTTCACTCGTATATAAACAATTTCTTTATAGTCTTGCATAATAAATATTTTGAATTTTTTTTATGGTAAATGTAAAAATTAAAGTTTGTTGCTTGTTCACACAGAATTATCAGGTTGCATAAAAATCTGGTAAACTACAAACAATTTCAACCTAAATTATGAATAAATATCCCCTGAAAGCCGATGCATAATTTTTATCTGATAAGTGAAAATAATAAATTTTACAAAACAAAAAATAATAAAATAAATAGGCCGAGGGCGGGCACCTATATTCCGTCCAGAATAAATAATGAATTCGCAAGGGTTTTCTGAAAGAGGGGGACAGCGGGCATAAATCAATACTCTGCCCCCCTTTTGTAGAAAGGGCGCAGTCACAAGTTAAAAGCTGTGTGGGTAACACGTTACTAAAATTCATCTTCGGAAAATTGCATCCAGCGACTTATCTCAAGGTAAAAATTAAAAACAAATTATTTTTGTTTAAATTTAAATTTTGATCAACGATTTGAGATAGTCATACAGATTATTTATTGCTCATTTTACAATTAAATGCAAAGCGTTAATTGGGTTTTTTCGTATTACTTATGAATAATTATTTTATAATAATAACTTAGTGATTTTCCGATAATGATTTTGCCACGATTCATTGAATAACCGGGGAGAAAAAAGACATAAACATAAGGATGACTATTTTGTTTGTTTGGGTGTTTTGTTAAGTCTATGTTTTTTCATGTTGTTATGTTAAAACACAAGCGTTATCACTACAGCTGAGGCGTTGAAAATGCTCAAAAACTGCACTCAATGCACTTCAAGGACGCGTCGATAAAGTCCAAATTCCTCTGTCCGGGTCTAAGCTCCCACGTCGATTACACGACCAGGGCCGGCCTCTTACAGGGCCGTCTTCCAATCATTTCTTAATCATTGTTTTTCCAGTATTTTACGATTAGATAAACGAAAAAGAAATAAACGTATTTAAGTTTCCCACAGACCAAAGACGTTTTTTTATCTTCAAAGAATATTCTGTTAAAAAAATGCAGAAAATAATCAAAAAAAATAACCCTATATGCGCGTTGTTTTATCTATCGTTGGTGAACTTATTTAATTTGTAAAATCAACTTTAAATCATAAAAACATTGCTTTTATAAATGTTAATACGTATTTAAATTGAAATAATTTTCAAGATTAACTCGAAATTTCGCCGAATTCTTAAGTTTTCATGGTGGTTTCTGAAGAAAAAACAGACTTTTTTGTATAAAATAGAAATATACTTATATTTACATATGCCACATACAGGGTGAATATAAAGTATGAAACCAAGCGATTTTTTCATTTCCGTCCAAAAAAATTAAGGTAATATAAAAAGTGTGATCATATTTTGAAAAAGAAATTTCTTTGTTTTTGAGTTATGCGATTTTTTAGTCAAAATTGCAATTTTTGTATTTTTTTTTTTTTAATATAAAATAGAAAAATGGTTTTAAAGTGGGTTGCCATTTTAAAAAAATTTGTAGAACTCAAAAACAAAAGAATTTTGAAAAATTTTATTTTTGATAAAACATCACGTTTTTATAGTACTTATCATTCATCAATTAGTTTTCCAAAAAATTAATAGTTTAAACAAAAAACGTTTGGTTCCATTCTTTTTATTCACCTGATATACTTGACGACTAAAAAATGATTCTCTGTTTTCGTCATGACCACGAAAAACTAACTCTTGACAGCAAAGAGAAATATAAATATCAATTAATCTTTAGTTTTTCTATTTTTTTGTGGCTATATTTTGTTTATCCAGGAGATGTAATTCACATTTGCTACTTAAATGTTCCTTCTATTGCCCTTGGTATTTTTTTTAAATTCATACCCAGTTTTAGACCATGTTTCATCACCACGACTTGAATATAAGTATGTAAAAACAAATCAGCAAGAAAATATTTTTTTTAGTATTTCACTTTCATCTGACTCACATTTAAAAAAACCTACACTATATTGTGCATTTTGCAATCATGGATCATTGAAAATAATTAATTCCAATTCCAAAGATTATTTTCTGGTCTAAAAACATTCCGAATTACATACTAGCCCTTATAAAAATCTCAACTCTTTGTAGGCAAGCCTCCGTAGTGACCTGCGCACTGCCTACTACAGGCGCAGCGATTTATTTAAGAAAATAAAAATTATCAAGGTCAAAATTTGTAGTTTACGATTCAGAAACAGTTAATTTACATTTTTAGAAATCATTTTTATTTTTTAACTTGTATTTTCACTGCCTCCCCTGACGGGCCACCATTGATTGATACTAAATTTTTTTGGTACTAATTTTCCCACTCAGATAACAGTAAAAAATCTAGTATTATGTGTAGGGGTTTTCCCCTACAAAGGGCTGATTCAGAAAATGTCTTGAAAAAACAAATGTGCTCCCGTTTTTTTTTCAATAATGAAAATGATTGACAAATACGTCTGACACATGAAAAACTGAAAAATTAAAAAAATATATTGCTTTTATTGTGGTGGTGCTGAAAATTTGCGAATTGCTTTTACTGTAAGTTTATGATCCACTTTAGTAAATCAAAAAGATTCATAACCAAAAAAATAAGTTCAATTGAGGCTTGAATGCTGCAAAGGACATAAACGCTGTATTTTTTAAGTTTTCCTGTTAAGTTCAGCTTACACGTAGTAATGTATTTTTTTCAAACATTGTCCTTTTTTTGACTTTTTCTTGATCTGGGGGAAGGCATACATGACTTGTAAAAAAAACTGTTCAGGTTGAATTTTTTTCAAAAAACTGAAGGGCAAAAACACATTCATTTCTACCTCTTTCTCCTTGCAGTTTTTATTCAGTCTCAAACGATTTTTCTTTTCACGACTTTTGATACAATTTTCTTCGTTCCAGATGAAGTCGAGTGTTCAGTTTGCCCCCAACAAACACTTGGAAAATATCAGTAAAATGTTTAAAAAATTGTACAACGACGAACACCTCACCGACGTCACATTGTGCTGTAAAGACGGCACAATCAAAGCCCACAAACTCATTCTCGCAACTAGTAGTCCATATTTCCACCGAATTTTCACGGAAAATAACCGAGATCATCCAATACTCATAATGCACGGCATCTCCTATCAGAACCTTCACGATCTCATTGAATTAATTTACAAAGGCAACGTCGATGTTCTTCCTGAAGCGTTAAATCCGTTATATGAACTAGCAGGAGAGTTTCAATTGTCTGGAATATCGGGAGTGCTAAGAGAAGAAAACGACAAATATTCCGACTACATGGTGGGTGAACTAGAATTTTTTAATTTTGATTTGAAATTAATTTTCGTAGAATGGGAGCCACGGACGGGATACTCGATACAGGGGGTTGAAACGAGTCGCAGTCGACTATAAGGACCCTGAGCCAAAAATTGAAAACCCCCCAACTCCCCCCAAGAAAGGTACATACTATGAGACGAAACGAGATAAAAAATTGCTCGATTTTTTGGACCCAAAAGTAGTAAAAAAATGCAATAATGTTGAGCTTCACATTCTTAATAAGCTGTGAAAAACAAACGATTAAATTTTTCACGAGAAATATGAGAAAAAAATCTGTGCTCCATTTCATGTTTTTCAAAATGCTGCGAATATGGTTGAAGATACAAGAAAAATGTAAGAAAGAAAGTTGTAGGGAATAAAATTTTCTAGTAAAAAGTCCGCAAGACCATAACCCTATCTTTTACTGGTGATTCAGTGCCAGAGTAGCACTTTAAAGTAATTTAAACCTAAACTGTTGAAGATAGAAATATGTCCTCACGGACTTTTTTGTAGCAAATTTTATTCTCTACAATTTTGTATCTTTAACCATATTCGCAGCGTTCTCAAAAATATTGGGCGGAACGCAGTGATAATTGTTTATAATTTATTTTTAATATTGTTTTCGATATTTTTGAGAACGCTGCGAATACGGTTGAAGATACAAAAAAAGTTGTAGAGAATTAAATTTCCTACAAAAAAAAAAAAGTCTACGAGACCATATCTCTATTTTCAACCGTTTAGGTTTAAATTAATTTTTTGTCTCTTGACCACCAGTAAAAATGACACGTATTCGTCACTTGAGGTCTTTGAACTTCTTTACAACCTAAATTAAAATTCTTAAAAAAATTGTGAGTTTCTGCGTAAAAAAACGTCAAAATTTTTTGAAGAAATAACACAATTTTAATCAAAATTTGCAATTTTCTGCTTTCTTTTGACAAAATATAAACCTGAAAAAAATAACTATCTCTAAGCAAAGTTTTGAAATAATCAACTTGATTTTACTTAGTTTCAAATCTCAAAAAATTAGTGAGTTTCTGCGTCCAAAATTGATAGAAAAAAATTGAATAGATCAAGAAAATAAAAAATAAAGCATTTCCAAATATATTATACAACTTTTTTTTTATATTTTTCTTGTACCTTTAACCGTATTCGCAGCATTTTCAAAAATAGAGACTAAATTGGTAAATGTTTGAAATTTTTTAAAATTTTTACCTAGGGTGTCCCAGCGAGTTGAAAAAGTCCATTAGTGACGTTTAAATGGTAAAATTTAAAAAAAAGTATAGGACATTGGTAGATACTAATCTAGTGCTTCACCTAAAATTATTTTTAACCATACACCATGTCCCAAAAATAGGTTACGATGTTTTTTTAAATGAAACACCGTATGTTTCTTTGCATTTTTGGATGTAGGCTTTTAAAACAATGTTTTTACGCTAAACTTTTATTAGTCGATTTTGCTTAGTTTTAGAAATAAGACGTTTTTTTTTGACGAAAACATCCACTTTTTAAAAATTTACTACACAAAAACTAAGACAGCTAGAACAAATTTTTTCTTTCTTCTGCAAAGAATTTAAAGCTGAAGCAATTTTTTAGTGTTTTGCATAAATAACTTAAAACTTAAATAACTTTCAAAATTAAAATGGAACACCCTATTTTTATATATACTGAAATTCGAATTATTTTATTGTAACAATAATAATAATGGATTCAATTTAACACAAATGTGATTATTAAATCATATTTCTTTCATCTCTTGTGCAACTGTGCACTTTTTGGCTACTGAAAAAATAGTAATTTTTTTTTTAATGTTTAATGTTAAATATCTTTTTAGTTATTGATTATAAACACCTAAAAGTAATAATTTTAGAAAGACCATTTAATAATCTTTTAAATGCAAAAATAATAAATAGGGTGTTCCATTAAAAATTTGTAAATTATTAAACTTTTAACAAACGCCTTCATTTTTTATCTTTGCAAATGCAAAACACTAAAAAAATGTTACAACATTAAAGCTTGTACCTTCTTCTTTGAGGTAGTAAAAGAAGTATTTCTAGATGTCTTAGTTTTTGTGTAATAAATTTTTAAATAGCGCATGTTTTCGTCAAAAAAACGTCTTAATTTTAAAACTAAGCAAAATCGACCAATAAAAGTTTTGCTTTGAGAACGGGGACGTTTTGTTTTACATCGTTTCGTATCCTAGTCTTTAGGTATCCGTAGTTTTGATAATTTTTGGTATTTTTCAGTCGAAATACCAAACATTTCCGATGATTCAATCCCATGCACACCCCCGGACGCGACCCCAGAATGCGAGGTATCCTCTAGTCGTGTCTCCTCACTAAAATAATCAAACTTTTCGCTAGGAACCTCCCACACAAAAACCGCCAGAGGAAGCCCCAAAATTGAGCGCTTGGGCGAAGAAACAACGCAAATTCAAATGTGACCTTTGCCCTAGCAGTTTCAAGCGTTCCTCGCATCTAACTCGCCACCAACTTGTCCATACTGGCGAAAGGCCCTTCGCTTGTGACCAATGCGATAAAGCTTTCTCAAGACATGACAAACTCAAACACCACATTCGGAAAACACACGAGGAGTACGAAGCTGATTATAACATGGAGTTGGCGTCGTCTCCGTCTTCTCCACTACCATTTGTTATTTCGCATGTGCGAAGCGAGGCCGATGACGAGTCTTCGCCCCCGAATCCGCCAAAACGGCCACGAGGCAGGCCGAGGAAATACCCGGTTGTGGAAAAACCTCTGGTGAAGCGAGGCCGGGGAAGGCCACGTTTGAATCCAGTGAGGCCAGCGACAAATGGGGAAAACTACGATATCACTAATTTGCCCTACGGTGATTTGGAATATTTGACTATGCCGTTGCAGGACTCAGTTATCATTGAGCCATACGTTGAAATTAAAACCGAAAAAGAGGAGACTAGTGGAGAAAATGATAAAAAAGATAAACAGAAAGATGAGGAGCAACCCCCGCGAGTTAGTCCCACGAATTTGAAAGTCCTAGAAAATCGAATTGCGAAAATTGGAGAATGCACAATATCCGTCGCAAATCATTAAGCCCATCGAGACCAAAAACTAGATTAGTTCATTTACTCACATATTGTCACACTACTAGTTATTAATTATGTACAAAATACAAATAAAACTGTTTAGACGTGATCTTGGCATTGCTTAAAGCAAGAAATAAAAAAATATTTGACTAAAAGGGATATACAGGATGATTCACAAGTATCGAGTCATCCCTTGGGTGGTAATATAGGACATCCAACATTTAACAAACTAGCAAATTCAACAAAACAAGAAAAAATTGACAGTTGTTTTTTCTCAAAGAAAAACTTGAAAAAAATCTGCATTTATTTTTATACTTAGCTGAAAGTCTTCTATCATAATTTGAGAGTTGGCTCGACACTTTTGAATCACTGTATTTTCGTAGAATCACTATAAGAATTTTTTCATTTAAATAACGAAACATATAACAAGTAAACAACAAAAAAAACATCTAAAAAATACATACATAAAAAAGTGAACTACAGAATAATGTTTCAGATATCAATATATAAGCATTTTCTGGTACAATAATGTTTCAATAAAAAATGCCACATTAATTTTTTTTTATAATTTTACCATTCTTGAATAAAAATAATTTTTATATAATTCAGTTATGTATCTGCATAGTCACTTTATAAATATTTATTAGCTTTTTTATTATTAATTTAAATTATTTTATTATTAATTTTGAAATTATTTCAATGCTATTGCTTTAAGAGTGCTGTGACTAAACTTTTGACAAATTGACGTATGTCGTAACTTTAGCAGTCAAATAATTCTCGATTTATAATTTAAATTTGTTTTTGTAATGTTGGCGCCACTGTATCTTCTATTAATGACTTTTTTGGAAAAATTGGGAAGAAATTTTAATAAAAAAGTGCGCATTTAAAGTTCCAGAAATGAAAATATGGATCTGACGTAATTGGCACCTGAATAAACAAGAAGGCGTCGGTAACCTCAAAAACCGAATACAGTTTTAAACTTTAATCCATCCATAAATCCATAAATTAGTTGTGAAATAAAAAAACGCTTACCAGTTTTAGTGCACTAGAATGTTTTGCCAAAAATTACACGTTTGCAAATTATAATTGACGCACCCGCTTTTGCAGAATTTTGAATAGTAAAATGAGTTGGCAACTGGAATGTCCCAAAAAAAAATGGGTTGGCAACACCAAAAAAACCGTTTTCTGACATTTGGGTGTAAACATAACCTGAAAGTTCGCCACGTGAGGTTATTTTTTCGTATTAATTGAACATAAATATCAAATATGACAAGATTTGCCCGTGCAAAAGGCTCAAAGGCGTCCAACGAGAGAGTTCCCGAGGATGCCACGTCCTGGAGTGAGATGAAAAATCAGTTATTGGAAAAAAATCAAGAAACTAAGAAGAGACACGAAGCGGACAAACAACGGGAAACTAATTACAAGGCTTTTCTGCAACAAGTTGAAAACGACGAGATAAAAAATAGTAAATGGGCGGAGTTCCCCGTCGATAAACCAAAAAAGAAGAAAATCCTTAAAATCCTGGAAGAAAAGAGCGGAATCAAGCGTAAATCCGACTCCCCCCTTGAAGAGAATAACAAAAAGGCTAAAAAACCCACCGAAAACGGCGCTTCAAATGAAGCTAAACCTGCAAAAAAAATTAAGAAGAAAAATAAGCCAAACATTTTGACAAAAAAAGAGCCATTAACCGAAGAAGAGCAAAAGAAAATTGAGAAGAAGAAAGAGAAGCGGTTACGTCAGCTTGAAAAAAAGAAGCTGAAGCAACCACAAGTCGCTAGTGTGAAAAAAGCCAAACCTAGAGACAACGAGAAACACGAAAGGCGTAAAAAGCCCCAAAACAGCATGATAATCAATGGAAAAGAAGTGGAAATTGCTTACGTTGACGGTTTCCCGATTAAAATAGAGGACGCGGAGAGAATCCGCCAATTGCGCCAACAAATGATCAGCAAAGGTTTACCCAGAAGCGAAATTAAAATCGCCTTGAAATTGGAGAGAAGAAAAGCGGAAAAGGCTTTTGCGCGAGAGAAGAAGAAAGTGTGTTTCAATTGCCGGAAATCCGGTCACAATTTATCCGAATGTCCAGAGTTGGGAAAACAAATCGCTGAATCGTCAGGAACTGGGATTTGTTTCAAATGTGGATCAACTGAACACACGCATTTTGAGTGTAAAGTAGTCAGGGGACAAGAATTCAAGTTTGCGCAATGTTTCATCTGTCGGGAGCAGGGGCACATCGCGCGACAGTGTCCCGACAACGCCAGGGGGCTATACCCGAAGGGCGGCGCCTGCAAGGTGTGTGGGGACGTGACCCACTTGAAGAAAGACTGTCCAAAGTACCAAATCCAACAGCAACAACTGCAAGACAGCTTACAAATTGACACCATCACCGGTAGCGACAATCCCGATGATATGAGTAAAAACGACGAAAACAGTCGAATTGTAAATAGAAAACCGAATAAAGTAATTAAATTTTATTTGTGTCTCATTTAAACCATCACCCAATTGTTGCCAGCCCAAAACAATTAAATTCACCAGAGCTAAGCTGAAAAATTACCAGATTTACATCTACTTACACCAGATTATAATAATATGATTTTTGTAATACTGTCGAAGATTTACGTTAATAAATCTCGCAAATCTGCTCAAAAACGTGCTTAAACGTTCGAAAAATGCAAAAATAGGTAACGCTATTTTATTTAGTCTAATTCTAAATATAATTTTTTTGCTAATCTTGCGAAATACCGAGTGGCAAAAAACCTATTGGCAACACTGAATTAGTGGTAATTCTTCTAAATTTGTTTGGCTAAATCAGCAGTCGCCCGTCGCAAATGCATGACAATTGCCTACAAAAGTTTGACATTTGAATTTGAAAGTCAAGGTTGCCAAATTGAATTTTAAATTTGACACCAAATCACTTACAGTCGCCTCATATTTACGTTTTTACTTGTAAAACATGCTAAAACACTTGATAAAAGCAAAAATAATGACTTAATTTGATGTTTTTTTGGTTTGTTTAAGCAAATCTTGTAAATAACACCATTTTCGACCATATTTTGTATTTTTCGTCCTATTTTTTTTTTGACAAAATTTCACTCAAAAAGAGCTAAATCGAATGAAACAAACAAAATAACATCAATTTAGATTTATTTTTGTGTTTTGCATGTTTTGACAATATCCTGCAAAATAAATGAGTCTCTGGTTCAAAAACAGACAAAATCGATCGAGACACGCTAAAATATGATGTCAATTTCAATCTAATTTGGTAATTTTTCAGAAAGTTTTAGCAAAAATTTGAATGTATTTTAAAAACGCGCTGAAACACTGTAAATATGCAAAAATAACACTAGTTTTGGCGTAATTTGATAAATTTTAGATTTTAGTTTTTAACGAAATTTTGCAAAATAGTCCTGTTCTGGCTAAAAACATACTAAAACGAACAGAAATTGACAAACTTATGTACTTTTTCACCCATTTTAGCGATTTTTTTACTTTGTTGAGTGAAATATCATTTAGAAAAACGAAGTTATTTCTCAATTTTTCTACCTCTTTTGTAAATATTTAGCATGCAAAATGCTAAAAAAATACAAAATAAATAGTGTCATCATTTTTGACTGAATTTACTATTACCCCAGTCAAATTAAACAAATTGGTGGAAAAAATCCTAGAGAGTTGGATTTTTTTTAACGCTTTCTTTACACTTGGGTAGACTTATATCAAAAGTCCCCAAAGGTGGGGGGCAAGCTTGAGGAGGGGGAGGGGGTTAAAGGTGTCTTTTTTTGGTTTTTTGCTTATATGTATCGGTTTTTACCTTTTATCCAAAATTAAAGCTTATTAAATTTGCTACAAAAATGGACCTTTTTCCACCGATCGCCCTATTTTTGTCTAATTTGACTGGGCTATAGTATATCAATAATTAAAAAAATAAATTAACAATGTTAATTTTACTAACATTAGGGCTAATACTCGATTAAAAAAATATATTTTAACTTATATTTATATTTCATTAATTTTCTGCTAGAACTACGGTCACGTTTCTAGAAAATCATCGAAAATTAGAATTTTTACAAAAGTTTTTACTAAATTATTACCACTAAAATTGTTACTAAAAAAACGAATAAAATTTTAGTTGTGTCTCATTTAAACCATCACCCAATCAGTCCGCAGATCTGAATCACGTGGTCTTGAATATAATTAGTCTATTCTGTCTATTTCATTATTTTTAGTACACAATTGTGAACGTCAAGATGGTCGAACCTAACAGTTTTTTTCGAGTGGCTAAAAATGAAATTTTTGGGAGGTAAAGGTAAAAAAATTCTATTTTTTCCCCAGACAATAAAAAATTGTAGATTTATTATCGCATCCAAAAATATCCAACAGGGACAGTTGATTTTCAAAGAAAATCCCGCGGTTTTGTGCCCCCAAGTAGGGGGCCCCATAATTTGTTTCAACTGTTGCGCCCAATTGAGAAAACTGTTCTTTTGCCCCGATTGCCGAGTCGCAGTGTTATGCAACCCAAATTGCAAAAGTAAGCTTCTTGTCGGTGTAAAACTCGTTGATTTCCGGTTTTAGGTCAATTTCACAACGCACAGGAATGCACAGCTCTCAAAACACTGCCACTCAATCACGACGATATTTTATCAAATCCGGAAATTGTCACTCCTTTGCGATGCCTCCTGTGGCGACAGTTTGACAAAAATCTACTTGAAAATTTTCTACAGCTCGAAGCGCATTTGAATTTCAGGCGAGAGTCGCAAATCTGGCGCAGGAATCGCGTTAATATCGAGGATGTCCTTTTCAAGTTGAAAATACTCGATGAAAATGACTTGAGAGACGATGTGGTGCAGAAAATATGCGGAATTCTTGATATTAATACTTTTGATGTGCGACAACCGCAACGAAATAGGCTGGGGTTTAATCAGAGTGAAAACTTGAGAGGGTTGTATCTAAAGGCAGCTCTTATGGCTCATGATTGTGTGGCAAATACGCATTTGGCGGTCGATGACGACTTTGTCTTGTATGTGCACGCCGCTGTTGATATCCCGGAAGGCAGCCCCATTTATTTTAATTACACTGATGTTCTGCAGGTATTTCCACATGTGGCACATACAAACTTTTTTAGACCATATGCGATCAAAAAAAATAAAATAAAAATTAGAGTAGGCGGTAATTAAAGTCCTTCAGATCGCAATCCTGATTTTTGACATCAAATGTCAGCGGAAACTTTGACAACTTTGTGTTTTATTCCTTTTATTGATATACAAGACGAAAACGGTGAATGGTCATTTTCACTTCCAGTTTGTGTGGAAAATTTCCAGCCCAGATTCCCAGCCAATATGCCTACTCTAATTTTTTTTTTGATCGCACGGTATTATAATAAATTAAATAATTGCAACTACATTTTCTACGAAAAATAACACTAATTTGTCAAATAAACCATGGTCCTATAAAGCTTCGTTACGGATATACAGGGTGATAAAGTTTAATGACAAAAATTAAAATCCACTCCTTGAGTTATTTTTATACAATTTTAAAGGCTTTGTGAGCCATTGAAAGTACTCATTTTCTGGCAATTACTTTACCTTTACTTATTTTTTTATTAGTGTTATTTTTCGATGTAAGTAGAATAGATGGTTGCAATTTTTCGCATTATCAAGAAAACACCCTGTATACAGAGTGATGGGAGGATAATCACCCTACATTTGTAAATAAGAATACAATTTTTATTCGGTTCACATATTATTTTCCCTACTTTTTTAAAATGATTTCCTGCAATGTAAATTTTTACTGCAGATTTCTATTACTTTTTTCACAATTGTCATATATTAAACTAAATTTAGTAATATTTCTGTTGTAATTTCAGCTTTTTTCCTTTCCTCTTTAAGATTACCTCGGTCTTGCTTAATGCTATAAAACTAGATTCTGTTTTTGTTTTGGTTGCAAACATTACAAAGAAATATTTGAATTTTTGCAAAATTTTCAAAATGCATACTTTTACTTCTTTATAATATTTTTTTTTCGAAATCGCTCCTAAAGGGAATAACACCGTCTGTAAAGTAACCCAAAATAATCCGTAAAGCAGTACTTTTCCAGACACATGTCATTAATTGATCGTACGTAAAATGTGAATGTGTAAAAAGTACTAAAAAGTAACCTAAACTAATCCGTAAAGTAGTATTTTTCCTGACTCATAGGTCACTATGGTTGACAAAACAATTTACTCTAAAGTGTACAAAAATTCAATTTCAAGGCCTTGTTATGCAAAGAGCTAAAAACCTGTGAAAATATCTATAATATGTATTTTTTCAATTTTGAATATTAGAGTCAACTGTAATTAACTGGTTTGTTAATTGGCGATTAATAAATTTGACAACTACAATACGATAAACTAAATTTAGTAATGTTTTTGTTGTGATTTTAGCTTTTTTTCCTTTCTTCTATAGTCCAAGTTAAAAAAAAATAGATTTTGTTTTTGTTTTGGTCGTAGACATTACAAAGAATTTAAAGAAATATTCAAAGTTTTACGAAATTTTCAAAATACATATATTTTTTTTTTTTTAATTCTTTGTAATAATTTTTTTTCTGAAATCATTATAAAGTGAACGAAACCATCTGTAAAAGAGATAATCCCTGTAAAGTGGTTCTTTTATACGGACTTATATGTCATTAGGTAACTAAAATCGTCCGTAAAGCTGATAAGATAATCCGAAAAATGTACATGTTGTATAAAGTATCCCAAAACAATAAAGTAGTAGCCACTTTTTCGGACTTAAATATCATTAATTGAAATCGCGCGTAAAGTTGACAAAATATTTCGAAAAGTGTGCATGTTGTATACAGTAACCCAAAATAATCTGCAAAGTAGTACTTTTTCTAAAACCTATGAAAATGTCTGAAATATGTAACATTTTCAGTTTTGAATAATTAATTCGCTTGTTAATTGGCGATTAATAAAATTGACAATTGCCAGTTTTCAAACATTAAACTAAATTTAGTAATATTTTTGTTGTGATTTCAGCTTTTTTCCTTGATTTTATAGTTTAATATAAAAAACTAGATTCTGTTTTTACTTTTAATTGCGGACATTACAAAACATTCAAAGAAAAATTTGAATTTTTAGAAAATTTTGAAAATGCATACCTTTACTTTTTTTAAATTCTTTGTAATATTTTTTTTTCTGGAACGAAACAAAACCGTCTTGAAAGTAACCCAAAATAATCTGTAAAGCAGTACTTTTCTGGACTCCTATGTCATTAATAATTGAAAGTGTCCGTAAAATTGCAAAAACAAACCACTGTAAAGCGTAGAAAAAATTCAATTTTAGTGCCTTGTCATGTAAAAAGCCATTGTTATTGGATAAAAACCTGTAAAAATGTCTAAAATATGTAATTTTTCCAATTTTCAGGACTAGAAATTAGAATGGACTGTATTTTTAACTCGTTTAGTAATCGGCGGTTATCAATTGTCACACTTTTTTGTTTTTTAGGGCAATGACGAGCGAAAACGGCGACTCCTCAACGCCAAACATTTCGAATGCCAATGTTTGAGATGCCGCGATTGCACCGAATTTGATACTGAAATGAGTTCTTTAAAATGCCCCAGATGTCACAAAGGCCTTTTACGTCCAAAACCCTGGCAGTGCTCTTCTTGCCAACGAATTTTTCAAGATTCTCTTATCAAAATGACAATCACAGAATGCCAAAGACGAATTGAAGAGTTTGGTAAAACCGCAATAATCTCCCTTAACCCCTTTAATACGCCACAATTTTTCACAGAATCACCCACCATTGAAGCTTTGGAGAAATTCCTGAAAAAACTAAGTTTCACGTTTCATCACCAACACTACTTAGTTTTGGAAGTGGAGCAAAACTTGGTCCGTCTCTACTCACAAGCCTCTCCAAGTGGGAAAAACTTAAACCGGAAAATCGAGCTTTGCAATAAACTTTTGGAGATTTTCCGAAAAATTGAACCGGGAATTTCCCGCATTCAGGCAATTGCCATGTATGAATTGCATTCAGCTGTGGCAAATTTGGCACAAAAGTGCTACAATAATAAGGAATTTGGCACCGAGGAATTTGTCAAAAGGCTACTAGCAGCTGAAACTATTTTGAAAAACTCAATCAAATATCTCCTCTACGAACCTGTGAAGAGTCCCGAAGGACGACTAGCACAAAACGCTCTGTCAGAATTGAAAATGTTGCGACTGTCGATCAACAACATTCAACTGGGGGAAAAACAAACCAAACCAACCAAAAACAAGAGAAAAAAATAGATTTTATTATTTTGTTACAATAAATCAGGCAGGTTGTATAAGTAAATCAAAATTTTGTACCAAATTCTCCAACGATTGTTTCGCCACAATCGCCAATTCCCCTTCGATTGAATTCTCCGGTTCCCACTTTAAAATTTCCACAGACTTTTCAAGCAGCCCCACAGCGTCTTGCATTTTCCTCCTGAAATCCTCCCGAGTGATCAACCCCGACTTGTACTCATTCCTCGCGAGTGAAATCAAAGGGGCATGCAGCTCATAGAGTGTGATTCCCCGAAGTCTCGAAACTCCCGGCTCAACCACATCCAAAACCTCCAATAATTGATAACACAACTCCACTTTATGTTCCTGTAATAAATCCGGGAGTTCATGAATGTGTCCCAAGCTCGGTTTTATCACTACATCTTCGACACCGACAATCCAAATATTTGTTTTCTTTCAAAAAATCGCGTCGGATTAGAGTGGGCCAAAGTGGGTAAACGTAGTTATAGAATAATTCGTGGTTTTCAGGAATATTCACAGATGCTCGGAGTGTGATTTTGAAATCGTTGGGAGTCACAGTTTGAAACAAATTTGTGACACAATTGTGCGAAATTAGTGATAATTTCGGGTACAAACAACGAATCAAATACCCGGAAGATGACCTCACATCTATCGCATTGACTTCGAGAATCCCACAAATGGTGTGAATTAAAGTGTCACAAACCTCCAGTTTGCACACATTTCGGACAAAGTCCACAATTTTGGTATTAATTTTGCGAATCTCATTTTTGGACTCCAACCCCTCGATTTCCTCCAGCCACCGTTTCGGATCTTTTTCCTTCGCTAGAAGCATCCTCAGAGGTGTTATACCCTCGTATTACGGGTCGTCCACGTCTTGAAATTTCACACAATTTTCGTTGTCTTTGTGACTAGATAATGTTTCGCATTCGGGTCCACAAACCGGCCATGAGCATTTCGTACAGTATGTTTTTGTATGTTTCAACGCATTCGAAACAACCAAGACACAAAACGGGTGATCCTGAATAAATCACTCAGTTTTTTTCAAATGAGAGTTGATGTAAATACCTGATTTTGGGCCGTAAACAAAGGGAGTTTCGGTGAGGATTACTTCACCGGATTTGATAAGACGATTTGCCACGACATGACGATTTTGATCGGTTTGTGCGATAGTAAACGGGTTGGTAGTCATGTTTTGAGGCGACTGTGTACTTTTGTTCAAGTATTTCAAAAATCATTAGTAGAGCTAATTTTAGCAGTATTGGATAAATAAAGATCTGTACGTTGTTTTTTTGGCTTTGTTCCAACAGTGAAAGACTTTATAGTTTCAAACAACATAGAAAATATATTCTAGAGTCACAAACAATATTTTTGTTAGAATATACACGATGATCAAAAAATGACAGATAAGCTTGTTGATTTCTTATGGTAAGTAAAAAAAAAACAAATAAATCATTAAAAAATTATGTTAACCGTAGTTTAGAAACTATTAAGCTTCAAAGTTGACAAATAAATTTTATAATTCTGGGCTATGTTAATTTCTTACCTTTTCTAAAACATAGAGAATTATGTCATTGTTAACAACAGTAAAAATTTATTTATATGAGACTTGGACCAGTAATTTTTTATTTAAAAAAAGTTTGGTGTTATTCACTTAAAATTATATCTGACAACATTGGATAAGAATTATTTTAATATCAATTATTTTTTTTGTTTCTTGAGAAACAGAAATAACTTTAATTATTCGCTACTTTCATTATTTTTGCTGCTACATTACAACGTTGCCAGCTTAGTAAAATTCATAATTCATCATAGCTCAAAAAAAATAAGACTGGAGATGTTTTTTAACATTTTTTTATGGACTCACTCCTCAAAGCTTTTCCAAGAATGCATAATCAAGGTTATCTGTCATTTTTTTATCACCGTGTATAAAAAAAACGAGCAGAATGTAAGTATTGGAGAAAAAAGACATAACATTTAAAACGCAAAACCATAAATGGTGACGTAGGTATTTAAAAGAACGCAAACGTAACAATATTGGTAAAATAAAGAAGTAATAACCATTTTTTTGTTCCTAATATTTTTTACTCTCATATTTTATTAGGTTTGTTAATTAATTTTTTATTTATTTACATATTATTATTGTAATAGTATTACAAGGAGGAAAGTGTATCTTTTCCTCCCACAGATGAAAGTTAATGCTCAAGCCTTGTCGAGGACAGTATAACCACCTAGGGAGGAAAAGAAACTTTCCTCCAGTGTGATACATGTAATTTTTTCAAGAAAAACTTTAAAACTAACAATTTTTCTTCATATCCCAGTTTCGCCTTAAATCTATAGCAGCATGTTTTTCCGTTTCTATAGAGGAGGTAAAATTTTTACCTCCCTGGAAAATTACATTAATTTTTATTGTAATCTTGTTAGATGAGGGAGGTAATTGGCCATAGTCCTTTGTGAAATTAATGAGGAAAAACTTACTTTCTGTTATGGTCGTAGGAAATGCTATTTTTTTTCTATAAGTATAATATAACTATAATTTTAATTAATTAATTATAAGTGAATAACTCCAACTAAAGATTAGGCTTTTTTGTGTCAAGAGAAATGAACTCGGAAATTTTAGTTGTTGAAGATATCTCAAAATCGATGAAAGTGGAGATTAGGCTTTTTAAGACTCAGGTCCAGAAATAACATAAAAGTACACAAGTCAAGATATAATTTTTAAAACTTTTTTTTAAAAAGCCTAATTAGACGTTTTTTTACATTTTTAAATATTTAACAATTTTTATATTACGAAGAAATTATTCACATTGTTGCTATTTATTCTTTCAAAAATAACAATTAATAAGTTTGGGTTGAGACAAGCCAATAAAAGAAATATACTAAAAACACCAACAAAATCAATAAAGTGATTTGGTAAACAAGATTTCCATCTATCTTCACATAAATCAACCGCTACTAAACTATTATTAAATTGCAAACAATAACAGGAATAAAGAGAAAGAAAAATAAAACATAAAAACCTCATGAAAAGTTTATTGGAAACAACAACAAAACACAAATTATGCAGTTTCAATCAAAAGTTCAAAATTCTGTTTCAACCCTTCGTAGGCCTGTTGCGCCACCAACGCCAACTGCCCTTCGTTCGAATTCGCGACTTCACTCTTCAGAATCTCCACCGATTTCCCCAAAACCTCCACAGCCTCCTCCATTTTCTTCCTAAATTCCTCCTTACTGATCACATCCTGAGTATACTGATTCCTCGCTAAAATCAACAACGGTGCATGCAACTCGTACAATGTAATCCCTCTAATTCTCGAATATCCCGGTTCTACAACATCCAAAACTTCCAAAAGTTGATTACAAAGCTCCACTTTGCGTTCCAACAACAAATCCGGCAAATCCTCAACAGTGTAACCCTCAGCACGGCCGTAAAGTTGCGACAAGGATGTTCGCAATATCGTCATGTATGCGTTTTTGGGATGGAATACCGATCTGTACTTCCTAAAAATAGCCTCGCGTTGTTCGATCCCTTCAGGTCCTGAGAGCATTTCGACGGCGTCTATTTCGGTCTGGACCGCTTGGTACACTTTCCGGACTGCTACAGCGTTAGTTTTGAATTCGCAATGAGTGCATTTCCACTCGCAAGTGAAACTTAACGGATCTGTACTCAAAATCACCCCATTATCGCATTTGTTGCATTTGAGGGTGCCTAAATGTGTCCCAAGCTCGGTCTTGTCCTTACACCTGTCACACATACATTCGAAGTATTTGCTCTCTTTCAGGAATTCACGACGGACAAGAGTCGGCCATAGGGAATAAGTGTAACTACWGAACAATTCCCCATTTTCAGGAGTTTCAACCGCTGCTGAAACATTGACACTGAAAGTGTCACAATCGACGGAATGGTGCACATTTGAGACACAATTGTGCGACAAAATCGCCAARTTCGGGTACAAACATCTGATTAAKTACCCCGAACTCGCTCTCGCTTCAAATGCATTGATTTCCAAAATCCCACAAACAGTGTGAATTAACTCCTCCGGGAAGCGATCCAACTTACACGGGCCCCTGAGATAATCAACAATGTTGACTTGATTGAATTCCCATATGGGTTTGGTTTTGCGAATGTCATTGTGACTTTCCATCGCTTCAATCTCCTCCTGCCAACGTTTCGGGTCTTTCTCCTTCGCTAAAAGCACCCTCAGGGGTGTTATACACTCGTATTGGAGACATACATTTGTGGGGTCCTCAACCGGCTGGAATTTCACTCCAGCGGTGGCGAAAACCCCACATTCGTAGTCGCGATGACTCGGCTTTGCCTCGCACTCGGGGCCGCACACCGGCCAGGAGCAGTGCGAACACAGGATTGTGCAATCGACGGGGGCGAAACACCCCAGACACAAAGGGGGCGAATCTGAATTAATTAGTCATAGTTGAGACAAGCAGCCAGCAAACTTACCCGATTTGGGTCCATGCGCAAACGGGGTTTCGGTGAAAATCAAATCGCCGGGTTTGAGGGCCCGACTTGCCACGGCAAATCGGCCCACTTTTTCGTCCTTTTTGATAGTAAACAAGTCGGTCATGATTACTGATTCGTGTGCTCGACTCGGCTTAAATATAAACACCGGTGGAGTTCGAGAGAATTCTCGGTTAATCTATTGGCAAGGTGCCCACAGTTACAACAAACCCACTCTTAAAATTAATTGTTTATCGAATTTATTGTTAGTAAGGCGAAGATGGACGAGGTGTTGAAACCTGTAAAAGTCTTCACCGCTCTTGCGGCCCTTGATGGGGCTAAAACCAAAATTCGGTTTTTACAATTTGTGGTAATTTTGATCATTGTGGTTTGTTCGGTTATAACCAGGCAAATAATTAGATCGGTTCATGACACTGCAGGGTTTGTGATACAAACAGTTGAGTCGGTTTGTTACAATATTCGCATCCCTGTGACTTTTTGCTGTTTGATTATGGCGCGGAAAAATGCGAACCAGATTGGCGATTTTGTATCAACAGCTCAAATGATTGATAAGAAATTTAAAAATATGGGATTTGCTGTTGATTACAGCACAGGAAGGCGACAAACGCAGATTTTTGCAGGGGTGTTAATTTTCAAAATTGTTTTGCAACTGATGCCGTTTTATTTTCTAGGTAAGTATTTTTTCATTTAAAGATGCACTGATTAAAACTAAAAAAATCGTAATTTTTTAAACTTGACCCATATGCACTGTTTTGAGTCTTTAGTCTAGAAATGTAAAAAAGTCAATATCTCGCAAAAAAATTTTGAATTTTCAAACGCCGATTAAAGTAAGTGAAAATAGTCAATTTACCTTAAGTCGTAAAAACGGTTGAAATATGATTTTCTAGTCGTAAAATTACTCACTGAACACGATGCAACTAGTTAAAATACTCTACGATGCATAGTTTTTGAGATATTGAGTAATAAAGTTAAGAATAAGGCTAAAAGTAWAAGCACTATATCCGATTTTGACCAAAAATCAACATTTTTTTATTTTTATGATAAACTAGTACTATATGTAAAATTAACGGGAGAACATGCCTGATAACATCGTTTTGACCTAGGACTCATAGTTTTTGAGATATGAATTTTTTTTTGGAAAAATTAAAAATAGCTCTGTACCAGGAACCATAACCCGCAGCGACTTCCGGTTTGCGCCAGTAAATAGATAATTTTAAGCTAATTTTAATGATTTTTAGTTTTTGCTCTAAGTCCTATAGTTTCGTAGAAAAACGCATTTAAAATTTCACAATTTTCACTTTTTGAACGGCGATTACGGCCAAACTATTAGACTTAGAGCAAAAAGTTCAACTCCATCGTAATCAGCGTAAGAAAATCTATCGACTGAGGCCAAAGCCAAGTCGATATCTCGCAAAAAAAAATTGAAGTTTTAAACGCCGATTACGGCGAAACTAAAGGAGATAGCCCAATGTGGTTGGTAAATTCGTAATTAGCGCGTCAAAATCTATCGGATAAGATAGGTTTAAATRGAATCTGAGACATGTTCAAAAACACTAGTTTTTAGGGGTGTTAACAAATTTTTACTTTTTTTTATTTTGTAAATTGCGGCAAAACTATGTCTCAATGACATAATATTTTGACGTTAACCTATGTAAAATGTTCCGGGGAATCGATTGGCGTCAAGAAAACTGCAAAATCCGTAGTAGTTTTGAAGTTATAGTCTGATTTAAATTCTCGATATTTTTGACTTTATCAGAAATTTTCTCGATAACTATTCATCGTAGAGCACTGAACTTTTTAATATATGATAGGAAATTCAATTTTCTATCCAACGGTACCAATATATAAGAGGTTATCTCCAATAAGTCCGGAGTTATTGCCACTAGACCGCTCCGGGTACCAAAAATCGACCAAAATCTCGATAAAAATCAAAAAAAAATTTAACTTTAAAATTGATCCATTTAACGTTTTTTACATTTTTAGAGGTCTTATAGACTCAAATAAGTGCATAAAATGTTATTGGGTCAAGTTTCAAAAATTTTGAATTTTTCAAGGGGAACGGTAGTAAAATCGTAAAAATAGTCAATTTACCTTAAGTCGTAAAAACGCTTGAAATATAATTTTTTAGGCGTAAAATTACGCGCTGAAGTTAAAATACTCTACGATGTATATTTTTTAAACAATAACGTTTTATGCACTTTTTTGAGTTTTTAAGAGCTCTAGAAATGTAAAAATCGGTACATGTATCGATTTTAAAGTTGAAAAACTTTTTGAATTTTGTCGAGATTTTGGTTGATTTTTGGCACCGGGAGCGATTCTAAAAATTATAGAAAAAAGAGACTTAATAAAATGTAATTTTTTGTATACGTTCCCGAAAATAACTATTTTAAGGACTTATTTCCCTAATTATGCAACGTTCACGAAAATTTAAGAAAATAAAAAAAATTTAGTACATAAAACACAAATTAATTTTTTTAAGGTACTTCATGGAGTTTGGTAGACTTCCTAGATTTTATCGTTTACAACCTCCCTGCGTTTGTGGTTTACGTGTGTTCAATTCAGTGGATTACACACATCGCAATAATTCGCCTCCAATTTAAAACCCTCAACAAGATTCTCAAAATACTGCGTTATCAACCACCGTGGTTTGTCGAAACTTATCGCTTGCGCAAAAAGAAATCAATCTCGAGTAAAATTCTGATTCGTGAATGTGGCACATTTTACGACGCTTTATGCATCCAGAGTGGCAAAATAAACAATGCATTTGCCGTTCAAGTCTTACTCATAATTTCGATGTTGCTAATGTTGATAATTTTTGATTCGTTTCAAACTTGTCGAATGATTCAGAATTTAACGGAATTTGATTGTGGAAGTGTTGTTTATAATATTTTGTATTTTGAAACGTTGATGGAGCTGGTATTGCCGTGTGTTTTGATAGAGTCGGAAGCTGACCGATTTTCTGATAATTTGCACAAAATCAATAACAACGAAATTGAAGATGTGGTCCATTTGTTGATTCTTCAAAGTTGTTATCAAAGAATTGAGTTTTCCATCTGTGGCATCTTCACACTCAGTGGCAAATTTATTTATTCGGTAATTTACAACACTGTCTTTCAGTTCTACTAACAATGATTTGCAGATTTTTGGCGCAATGACTACCTTTCTTATCATGTTGTTACAGTTTGAATTGTAATTGCAACAAAATTAATATTTATTTTTATTAAAGCGAAAGCGTTATGGTGCGCTACCGAATAACCACAAAACATTTTTTCAATGACCAACTTTCCATCCCGACCGGAAGAAAACGAAAGCTACTTTTTATCCAATTGTGTAAAATATATAAAGAATTCTCTCATAATTCCAATCAAATACGAAACAAATTTCAAACCAAAATGAACTACAAAATCTTTAACGTTTTCGCAGTTTTATTTACTGTTATTGTATCAGTTTTGGGGGCCGTCTATCCGGTGGAAAATGGTAAGTCGGTGATTATTAATTCAGTTTTTTTAAATAAAATTTCTCCAGTGGCCGAAGCGAGTGATTATCGTCTGAAACGCGACCATGGACATGGTATAACCGGCCCAGTGCACACTTATGTCAAAACAGACAAGCATGCCAACTTTAAATGGGGGGTGAAGCACCACGTTGGTCACCACTACGCCGGTCGTCGCTAAAATTGCACTTTTTGTCCCCGTTTTGTACTTGTAAATAAAACACACGTTTAAAATTCGATAACTTTATTTACAGTCAGGGTCGCCCTTCTAACTTTTTTTTATCAACGAAAGCCTCACCAGAACACCCCGAACTAATAAAAGTCTGCGGAATATCTTTTCCGAAATAAACTTTGTTGTTTTGTGACAAAGACTCGTACTTTTTCAGTTCGATATACTGTGGTGTGTACAACAATTTATTCACTTCAGCTTGTTGCTTCATCCTGTAAAACTCCGCATCTGCGTGACTTTTCTGTCGCGCTAAGTGCATTTCGTCCTCGATTTGAGCAATTCGTTGCAACGACTCCTTCTCCATTATTTTTTGCTGGTATTGGATTTTGGCAACTTGCGCTTCTTTTTCCGCCTCAATCACAGCTCGTTTTCGTTCAGTTTCAGCATCTTTCTCCACAACTTTCTGGTGTTGGGTCGCTATCAACAATTTGGTTTTTTCCCCCTCCATCAATTCGTAGTTTTTGCGAATCACTTCAGGGATCTTTGGTTTTGTTACGCGAACGGCTTGGATGGTGAGGCCGGGGGCCATTTCGAGCAGATCGCGTTGGAGGGCTTGTTTGAGGTTCTCGTCGATTTGGTCAAACAAATCGATGTAGACCTCGTGTAAGGTGTGGATGCTGCAAAACTGGTTCAACTCGTGGTGGATCTTGTTGAAGATCAGCGTTTTGTCGTAGTCGGCAGTGTAGTTGCGGACAATATCCATAACTGGAATAAAGTCTTGTTTACGAAATAAAAAATGAAATGAGGCCAGTGCTACCGCTATTGGCATTTAAATGATTAACTACTTCGATCCTATCGAAATAAATCATAACGCCGCCACTGGTGCCACAAGGAACATTCTTCACCTCGTCGGTCTGAAGGGTGACCTAAAAAAAACTTGCTAATAAGGAAATCAAGAAACATTTTCGCAAAAACAAAAAAAGTTATCACATTCAAGCAAGAGTTTGTAATTCCAATACGAGCCGCGTAGGGGCGAGTTGAGAAACACAGAATCACTTGAATGACCGTCTATATCGAGTGCTAGTTATAGTATTTTTTCTATTTTGCGCTTTTTATGCTGTATTTAGAGGAAAAAAGGTAAATTTAGTCACTGGGACACGTAACAAGGTTATTCATAAAAGATTTGAAAAATTAACCTTGAACTAAGATTTGTTTTTGTAAGTTGGAAATTAATTCTCGAAATTTTTTCATGTTCGCCAACGAAAATTCGTGAAATTGGAAAGTTTATTGAAAGCAATTTACTTCCAACGACATTGCCACCAACATTATAAACATAAAATATACTAGGCTATTAACGCACCCAAACGAGTTCGTTATTAGCCTTGTTAATGGCGCAAAATAGAGAAATTTAATTGAAGGCACTGTATAAAACATTCTGGTATTTTTGCAAAAATATAAAAAATTGTATTAGGAACTACAGAAAGTATCTATTAAAGCAAGAAAGTGAAATTCTGAAACGCTCCGCGTAGCGGTGAGTTGAAGAATAAACGATTGCTTGAATGGACTTCTGTAACGAGTACTTTATACTATTTTTTTATATTTTGCGTTTTTATGTTGTTTTTAAAGAAAAAAAAACATATATTAAATATTAAAAAAAAAATTGCGTCAGTTAGTGACATAAAAAGTAGTGTTAGAGTACACACCTGGGCGGAGCCTAATTGCGCACGACCGTGAGATGGAAAACAAAGCAGTGGCGTAACAAAGTAACTTTGCTCAATGGAATTGGGGTCCATAAGATTATTTCGACTTACAGCTTTTTTTCTTTTGCATTTACAGCTGCTTATAGCAAAATTTAGACTTACTTACGACTTAGTAAATGATAAATGTGGTAAATGTCTCACTTTTAAAATCATAAGAACACAACATAAATGAACGCAAGTGAGTTAAAAATGCGACAAGTGCAAAACTAATTTAAATAAAGTCTCAATTGAAACTTTGTGATAAAACGTATCAATAAAATAAATGTTTTAGTAACAGGCTTCTGCCAAAATAAAGCAATTTGAGCTATTTTCAAACCAATTTTGCTCGATTTTAACTCAGAAATCATTCTAAAAAAATAATTGCTTAAATAATAGTTTTCTCCCAAAATAAAGCAATTTGAGCTATTTCCAATACAATTTTGCTTGATTTTAACAAAGTTGAAATTTTGTAACCACACTTTGACAATTGTGACCAGTTAGTGTGACGGAATTTTGTTTTTTATTTTATCTATTTTAAGTTCAACTTGAACCGTTATAATTTTTTACTAATAAATTTTAAATTAAAAATAATAACTAAATTCGTACGACTATACTATTAAAAACTGCATATTTTTTTAATAAACTTTAGTTTTTTTTATAAATATGATAATAAAGCAAATTTGCACGGCACTGCCTTATGTCAAAAACCTCCCTATTCTTAAGATTGGACTCGTCCGGGACGCATACACGCCCAGGCGTGTACTTTTGACTTTTACCCCACTCTATTCATGAAACACAGATTGACATTTCATAATACTGTGCGTAATCTAGAAATGAAATCTCAAGATTTTTTTTATTTTTTCATGAGAAAATTGATGTTTGAAAGAAATTTATTCCGACGGTATTCTCACCAACATTAAAAACCAAAAATACACTAGACTCTTAACGCACCCAAACGAGTTCGTTAATAGCTTTGGTAAGGACGCAAAATAGAAAAACATTATTTTTAGCTTTTTACCTGAACCGATTTGTATATCGTTAGCAAAGGGATCATCATATGATACCCTGGCGAACTTGTAACGGGTAAAAGGGCTCCTCCCTGAAAATTATTGACTTAAATATCGATAAACTAGTAAAATAGACAAAAACGTACCCTAAAATACACCCCAACATGACCTTCTTCGATCCGATGCAAAGAATAATTGAAAATGATAAACAGAGTTGATAACACAGTTCCGATTATTAAATGTTCAGTCAAATGCGACATTTTCATGAAATTTATAGACGTGAATAGAGAATCGCCTGGTTTAAATATTAATTTGAACACATCATGTAGTTAAGTATCGGAAATCTTTAATTTCCACTTGACACATTTTTTGAGGTTATGTGCAAAAAACCCGGAAAATTACACTTGACAAGTCACAAATACCAACTATTACCTCAGAACACATTACTAAGTGAAAAAAACTACAAAAATTAAATTTTTACACAAAACTCTTCAATTAAGATTTTCACAATTAACATGTCTTCTTTGACACAAAACGTGGGGTGTGATTAATATAACACTCAATTTTTGCAAAACTGTGGACAATAGTAAAAATACTAATACAAAAATATTTTTTTTGTGATAAAAAAAAATATAATTAAGCGTTTGCGCACTTTAGACAATTGATCAGCTGTCGCGCATGCGCGCTAGCATAGGTGGTGATTAAGTGCGTTTTATTTCATAATTTTGCAATAAAATTCCAAATAATTCCTCGAATTGTGCAGTGATGTGTTAGATCGCACTTTGGCCCAATTTCCTTTAAAAAACTGGTAAAACAATGGACTTAGGGCCCGACCAAGACATTATTATGGAACGCCAAGGAAGGTAAACAAACCAACTTCCGCATTGTTCGAAATAGCTAAAATGTGAATTCTAGTTGTTTATTGCTGCGCTGTGACAGTCAAAATTCCCTCGATGAAAGCTCCCAAAAGCAATTGCCGCGCTCTGGGGGCAAAGACAAGCCGCCTTATCGCAACTACCACCACACACAGAGGGCTTTCGATGCCATGAATTTACTGAGAAAGTGCGTAAGTCGGTGCTTGGTCAAGCATTGTGACTAAAGGGGGCTTTTCCAGACAAAGACTGCTCTGCGACGTGATTCTGGTGGCCGACACCGTGGAAATCCCCGCTCACAAAATGGTCCTAGCTGCTTGCTCTCCCTATTTTTACGCCATGTTTACAAGTTTTGAAGAGAGTAAACAGGACCGCATTGTTTTACAAGAAGTGGATCATCAAGCTTTGCAAATTTTAGTCGAATACGTCTACACCAGCGAAGTACAAGTCACTGAGGACAACGTACAAGTCCTCCTACCAGCCGCTAATTTGCTACAATTGACTGATGTTAGAGATGCTTGTTGTGAATTTTTACAGGTGCAATTGCATCCAACTAATTGTTTAGGGATTAGGGCGTTTGCTGATCTACACGGCTGTTTGGAGCTGCTGGCCCATGCTGAATCGTACATTGAACAACATTTTATGTGGGTATAGGCAAGATTTAACCACAAAATACTGAATTTTTGTTTTAGTGAGGTTGTTGAATGTGAAGAGTTCCTAACGTTGTCGCACCAACAAGTTTCTAAGCTTATTTGTAGTGATAGACTTACCGTACCTTCAGAAGAACAGGTGAGTGGACCTCCTGAAACAAGTGAGGTTATGTGATATTTTTTTATTAAAATTACGCAAAACTGTGATTTGGTTGTGGTTATTATTGTGTGTGAATTAAAAAACACGTAAAAAAATTATTGCGTCAGGGATTGAAGCAATTAGCACAAAATTGTGGTTCTAATCACTTTGCACAATTTTTTAAATTACGAGAAAATTAAGTGGGCCTGCTAACTTGATTTAAGTATTACCAATGTAACTTAAGTTAAGACACCAAGGCTAAAAAAAAAATTTACTTTCAAAATTATTCCAATTTATGCTCTATTTAGTCTATTTATCGATATATATGTATAATCGATTATGACAATACTATTATCTCTCTTCTAACTTTGTTAAAGTTAATAGTTAAACTGGACAAATGATGTGCAGGAATTTATTTTTATCATATTGGTATTTGATAAATAACCAACGTTTATTGAAAAACGGAATAATTAATAAACTATGATTTCTAATAAATTACAGTTTGAAGGAAGGTAGCAGAATGCCGGAGTTTCAATTAATTCAATTTGTATTTTTACAATTAATATTCGCAATCCGTACCAACCTATAGTCGTAAAAACCCACATTTATTAATTGTAAAATTGTGTTTGCTTTTAATTTAAATAGTTTTTGTGGTTTTATCACATTTAATGCTAATTGAATAGACTTTCGTACCTTCAGAAAAACAGGTGAGTGGTCCTTTTGAAGTAAGTGAGGTTTTGTAAAAATTTTAATTACAATTACGCAGAAGTATTTTGTTTTTTGTTAATAATAACCAAACAAGTGAAAAAGTAATCGCATTTAGGTGAGACACTAAAACTGAAAATAATTTTTTTATCTTCAAAATCAATCTAATTTATGTTCTATTTTTACAAACTCCGAAATAATATAACAACAATGTTTTCTGTATTTTAAATTTGTCCAAATACGAAGTCAAATTCGAGAAATGATGTACAGGGATTTATTTTTATCATATTGGTATTTGATAAATATCCAACGTCTGTTGAGAAACGGAATAATTAATTAATTAAATATTATTTCTAATAAATTACAGTTTGAAAGATGGTAGCAGAGTGCATAGTGAGTTTCAATATATTGGTTAAATATTTTTTTATTAATTTTTTACAATAAACATTCGTAATCCGTACCAACCTGTAATCGTAAAAACCTAAATTTACCAATTTTGAGTTTTTGTAGTTTTATTACATTTAATGCTAATTAAATAGACTTACCGTACCTTCAGAATAACAGGTGAATGGGCCTCCTGAAGCATGTGAGATTAAGTAAGATTTTTTTATTAAAATTATTTGATATGGTTTTTTGGTTATTAATGTGTAAACACGTAAAAAAATAATTGCGCCAGGGTTTGAAGCGCGGAATTGTGATTTTAATAAAATGGGCTTGCCAACTTGAATTAAGTGTTTACAGTATTGCCAATGTAACTTAAGTTGAGTCAGCAAAACTAAAAGTGATATTTTGTCTTTAAAATCAATCCAATTTATGTTTTTTTTTACAAATACTGATATAATACGACAATACTATTTTCTGTATTTTAAATTTGTCAAACTGGAGAATTGATGTGCAGGGATTTATTTCTATCGCATTGGTATTTGATAAATAACCAATGTCTGTTGAAAAACATAATAATTAATTAATAAGTTATTATTTCTAATAAATTACAGTTTGAAGGAAGATAGTAGAGTGCATAGTGAGTTTGAATACATTTGTTAATTTCTTTTATTGTATTTTTTACAATAAATATTCGTAATCGTAAAAAGCTAAATTTATTAAATTTGAAATTGTTTTTACTTTTATTTTTTTAATGTAAATAGTTTTTGTGTTTTTATTACATTTAATGGTAATTGAATAGACTTACTTACTACTACCTTCAGAAGAACAAGTGAGTGGGCTTCCTGAAAGACGTGAGGTTATGTAAGATTTTTTTATTAAAATTACCCAAAAGTGTGATTTGGGTTTTTGGTTATTAAATTATGTGAAAAAATACGTGAAAAAATAATTGCGTCAGGGTATGAAGCTCAAAATTGTGGAAAATAAAGTGGGCTCGCCTACTTGACTTAAGTGTTTACAGTATTGCCAATGTAACTTAAGTTGAGACACCAATACTAAAAATGCTTTTTTATCTTCAATCAATCCAAATCCAATTTATGCTCTATTTTTAAAGATACCAATATAATCTAACGATATTATTTTCTTTATTCTAAATTTGTCAAAGAAATTAAACTCGAGAAATGATGTGAATTTATTTTTATCATATTGGTATTTGATAAATAACCAACGTCTGTTGAAAAACGGAATAATTAATTAATAAAATATTATTTCTAATAAATTACAGTTTGAAGAAAGCAGAATACATAGTGAGTTTCAATATTTAGTAAAGTGTTTTCTCTTAATTGTATTTTGGACAATAAATGTTTGCAATCCGTACCAACTTGTAATCGTAAAAACGTAAATTTCTTAAATTTTGAATTGTTTGCTTTTAATTTTTAATTTAAATAGTTTTTGTAGCTTTACTACATTCAAAGTTAATTGAATTTGACTCCAAGCACGAGATTTATGCAAAGTTTTAATCTACAAATAAATTTTCTCATGTTTTTTCACACCAAAACTTTTCACTGGCAAAAAAGCAGTAAAGTAACGGAACCAATGTGTGTTAATTTCAGTAATTCGCGTCGTTTATTTGCGGTGTCGCCATTCCCAAGTTTCGCTTTCGGTTTTCAGGTGTTCGAATGCGTAATTGCTTGGGTTCAGCACGATTTGGATGCCCGCCACAAGCATTTAGCCTCTTTAATGGAGCACGTGCGTCTCCCTCTCATGTCACAAGAATACCTGATGCAACGCGTCGAAGAAGAGCCTCTCCTCAAAGCCGATTTGCAATGCAAAGACTACATCATCGAAGCCCTAAAATACCACCTTTTGAAAGGCGACAACAAAACGACCTTCCGCACCCCCAGAACAAAACCGCGTCAACCGGTGGGCCTTCCCAAAGTTTTGCTCGTGGTCGGGGGCCAAGCCCCGAAAGCGATTCGCAGTGTGGAATGTTACGATTTCAAAGAGGAGAAATGGTATCAAGTGGCCGAAATGCCGACGAGGCGATGCCGAGCCGGCTTGGCTGTCTTGCATGGGAAAGTCTACGCTGTTGGGGGGTTCAATGGGTCGCTGCGGGTGCGAACGGTCGATGTTTACGATGCGGCTTTGGACCAGTGGAGCACTTGCGACCATATGGAAGCGCGCCGGTCGACTTTGGGGGTTGCGGTGTTAGGGAATTGTATTTACGCAGTTGGGGGGTTCGATGGCTCGACTGGGTTGAACACGGCTGAAATGTACGACCCCACGACGCAGAAGTGGCGCTCGATCGCCCCCATGTCCACGAGGAGGAGCAGTGTGGGGGTTGGGGTGCTGTATGGGATTTTGTACGCGGTTGGGGGCTACGACGGCGCTTCACGGCAGTGTCTCAGCTCTGTGGAGTGCTACACTCCCGAGATCGACTGCTGGACGTCAGTCCCTGATATGGGGTGTCGGCGTAGCGGCGCTGGGGTGGGTGTCCTCGACGGGATTTTGTACGCTGTTGGAGGACATGATGGCCCCCAGGTTCGGAAGTCCGTCGAGGCCTATGATCCGGTTAAGAGAATGTGGACGTCGGTTAGTGATATGACATTCTGTCGACGCAATGCTGGAGTGGTTGCACTCAATAGCTTGTTGTATGTTGTTGGGGGTGATGATGGTTGTAGTAATTTGTCGTCGGTTGAGGTGTACAACCCCAAAACTGACACGTGGACATTGTTGCCGAGCTGCATGGGAATCGGACGAAGTTATGCAGGAGTGGCTATTATTGATAAGCCGATTTGAAAGTCGCCTCATGCTGGCAACAGGGTCAATAGCGCCACTGCGACATCCACAAGGTAAGGAACATCTGATAATTACCGAATCTAATTAACGTCGAGTTTAATGTGTGAGGATAAGAAACAAAAAATCACAATTTAGGTCTAATTAGTAAACTAGTTGTGCAATTTGCACGCTGGAATTGTTATACAAGTATTGAGACTTCTGAAACTTGACAAATGTTAGTTAGACACCAGCATAATTCGAGTTTACTAAACCACATATTAATTAAACCATGTTTTTTGTTTGTTTTTGTGATGCTAAAATTCTGGGGTGTGCACCTGGTGTTACTAATTAAGCGAAGTTACGTTTTGTTTTATTAAAAAATCGTCGTCAGGGATTAAAAAATAGAAATTATTTACATGTTTGAGTTATAAATTGTTTTTTTTTCCACTTCGTGTTCTTAATTAAGTCATTTTGAAACCCATTTGAGTATCGAAAGAGAACTTATGAAACGCAACATTTTATTCCCTAAGATTGGTACCGGGTGTTAACGTCAAAAATAATACGAGTAAAAACGTAATATAATCTCACAATAGAATTTATTTTTATTTTTGAAGAATCTTTAAGTTAAGATTAACAGGGAAAGAAATATCTAACTAATGTTACAGTTTCCGTGGTTTTTTTTTCTACGATTAACTACCTAAGTATTAACAGTTGTCAATTTCAGTTTCGTTTTTCATTTATTTCAACTGACAAAGGTCGGTGTCACCAAACGTCATGTAATAATAACACTAAACTCCCTAAATCGTAAAATTTTCACAATTTTAAGCATATTAGGGCAAAATAGAAAAAAAAAGTATAAAAACATCGTTTCGTAAGGCGTTTGTCGCACTTGATCATTATTAAAGTCGTTCTTTAATACAGGATGTTTTAGATCTCTGGCCTCAGAGAAAAATGCCAAATAAGATAAGATACCAGAAACATGGAAAAAACGTTTAATAAATAATCTGTCAATTATTTTTTGACATTTGAACTTTTTATGTCTATTTTATGTTGCTTATGTATTTATAATTGTGTATGTTTTTTCATAATTATGTATTCAGTAAAGGTATAAAAACTTTGATAATAAAAGCCACAAATAACGTTAAACATAGTTACAATTTAGGATACAACTTTTTTGTTTTCAATTCTTATAACCTTCAGCAAAAAAAAACATGTAAAATAATTTTTCCAACAGAAATAAATAGGTTCAAGTGCTAAATGTAAACCTTTATAATTTCGAAATTTTTGTAGCCAAATTTTTTTAACATCTTTTTCATGTTTATGGTATCTTATCTTACTTGGCAATACCCTGTATTAAGAATGATATTGCACCATTATTTGAATTGAAAATTAAAAAACTTGTCAAAAACATCAAAATTTGACGTTTTTCACTGTCAAATGTAAATTTTTGGTTAAGTAAAATGATGTAAAAGATTAAAAAAGCGTTAATAAAAATTGGTAAAATAAAAAATATTTGTTTTTGGCAGCTACGATAAAGATACGTTTTATTGTGTTCGCTAACTACCGAAATAGGGCAAATAATTGTCATAATCTGTCATTAATTCTGATAAACTGTCAAAATAATATTTGTCAACGACGTCAGAATTTGATGTTTCTGACTGTCAAATTTATATTTTTGGTTAAGTAACTAAAAAGATACGTTTGATATGTACGTGAAAGGAAAGAAGAAAAGATTAAAAAACGTTGATAACAATTGATAAAATAAAACTTATTTATTTTTGGCAGATATGCTAAAGTTTCGTTCTATTGTGGTCGCTAACTATTGAAACAGGGCAAACAACTGTCAGTTAATTGTCATTAACTATCATAATATTTGTCAAAGACGTCAAATTGAAATGTCTGACTGTCAAATAGAATTTTTTGGTTAAGTAAAATTATGTAAAAGAAAATTATAAAATAAAAATTATGTGTAAGTGGCAAATACGCCACTAACTGTCAATTATTCAATTGACTTTAACTGTTAGTACTTGTCAAGGACGTCAAATTTGACATTTGTTACCGCCAAATTTAAATTTTTGGTTAAGTAAAATGATTAATAAAATTGTCAGATACGCAAACTGCGACGAGAACAGCAGCGCAGAGGGCGCCGTCGGCTACGACCACCAGCCGAACATCTACGAGACCATCGACCCGAATGCCAGCAGCCAAGAGGCCGAAAACATCTACGAAACCATCGAGGACATCCGGCAAAAAGTCGCAATACCGCCGCCACCGCCGCCTCCACCTCTCGACGACATGAACCCCGACCTTCCCAGTTGCAGTACCTACGGGAGGATCGGCAACGCATACGGCCGTATCGACATCATCGGTCATGGTATCGGCCGTATCGAGCGCCATCTATCGTCGTCCTGCGGTAGCATCAACAGCAACCACTACGCCTTGGAGAGCATCTACGGGACGAGTAGCACGGACGCCACTGGCAGGATTAGTAAAGTCTCAGTGCAGTGGTTGTTGGCTAATAAATGGCTGCCTTTGTGGATCGCCAATACTGAAACTGGGAGGGATTACAGGATCATCGATTTTCTTCTAGCGCAAAGGGCCGATAGTGAGGATTCTCAGGGGGATTACGAAGGGCAGGCGCCCAACGAACAAGGACCTTCGCAGTCTTAACCGGTTTTATGTCGCTTCGATGTTGTGGTTGGCGCTAATTAGGCTCATTCAAATCAAAACTTATTCGACGTAGCTGTTGCTAGTTTACTTATCTTTTATACTATTATAATGTTTGATGTTGTTTTTTTGTTAAGGGGAAGAAAAAAGACAAAACGCGAATTCAAAACCTCGAAAGTAGGTTAGTCGGTGACTAAATTATTCTATTTTTTTATTTTTATGATGTCTCATGTGATATAATGTAGGTTGACTTATGATGGAATGAAAATATGACGTTTAGTTTTCTCATCATCATTGTTGTGATTTCAGTATTTGGGTGATTTTTTATATGTTACTGTAGAATCTCTATTTTATTAATCTCTCTAGCTGTAGACGAAGTTTCAGAACAATAAATGATGTTGAAGACAATTTGGGTTTTATTTATTCATGATCGTGTTAAAGAATTTCAACTGTGGAGAAAATTAAACAATAATAATAATAAAAAGAAATAAAATGCAAAAAAAATTAGTCATTTCTTAAGATTAGAAAAAGTATAGTATTAAACTCGCCTTCGGCTCGTACTGTAGACTTTGTTTTCGTGGAAATAGCTAACTTTCTCCCTCGTTGAACAATATACTATTGTGTATTAAGAGCATTAACTCCCAGATTAAATATTTGAGTGGTTAACGATGTATGTTTCAGAGATGCACACAAAACATTTCTTTTCTTTCTAGACAACAAAGGAAAATGATAAAACTGTCAAATAATTTGTCAAAATATTCAGTTCATTCAATTGAAATTTTCAGAGTAAAAAACGGAATCAAGAAGTTTATGTCAATATTTCAATTATTTTATTTCCATGGGTGTAAAGTTTCAGGTTATTAGTCAATAACGAGGGAATAAAGCGTTACTTTATTTCCTGTTGGGAGCATCTTGGTTCGAGTATAAAAAGTTTTTGACTAATATCAACAAATTGATTCACAAACACGTTGCATCAGTTAAAATGCTGTACGACGAGCAGCTTTCAAGAGTCTGCTTACTTTTTAATTGTTTTTGTCACTACGAGAAAAACGCATTTAAAATTTTGAAAAATGTTTTTGGCTTTTTGGTTATGAGCAGTGTTAGGCAGTTGGAATTTATGTTCGCTATGCCCAGTGCAAACTTGGACCCTGAGTTTTCTAAAAAATATTAAAATATCAATTATCGAATTGGTAATAACAGTGCAATGGACCTTGACAGCTTTACCTAATTGTACGACACTCAAAAATTAAATTAAATTTCGGAAATTCGGCAAAGAGCGTGACGGCACTGCGATATTTGCTAGTTATTGGGAAGTGGGGGTAAATAAGTCCCCACCGCCTGACCCTATAGTTATAACTGTTTTGCTCATTTTTACTTATATTAGCGATTTTTTAACAGCTATGTATCGCAAGACGACGATCTTTGTTTTGTAAGATGTAAATTAAAAGTGCTTTTCAATGGTACCAAACAGGAAGATTTTGCGACTAATATTTACGGAGTTATGGGCGGAAATCTGAACTAGATGACAAAAATTACGTAAAAAATCAAATTTTGTCAAAAATCGATAGCTACGAATTTTAAGTCTTAAATGGGATTTTCTGTGAGGGGTAGTTTATAAAAAAATGGCCAAAACCTTTTTTTTATTTTTTATTTTCAAACACTTTGTTTTCATGAAAGTGGGAACAGAGTTTAAAATTGTTATAAATAAATGAATTATCAAGTTAGAAACTCTCCGCTTTAGCTGTTTGATTAAGTACGTAAATGTGTTCATGTGTTTTAAACAAAAGTGATTTTTTTTTCAATATTTTTTAAACAAATATTGATCAAGTTTCAAGTTTGGCTTTAACACGATAATTCTCCATGAACTTGTTTGTATAAATAAACTTTTTCTTGTCCGAAAAATTGTTGTTTTTTTTTGAAGCAATAATAAATTAAAAGTGGTAGTTTGTGTGTTTTGGTTCTCTTGATGTGATGCGACGCGACGGGACATAATTTTTGCAACTAAAATCTAATCTGAACGTCGGAACAATTTCAGCAGCACAATAAAACCGCACCCTGAAACCGATTTATACGTTTTTTATTTATTTGTACAACTATTTCCAGAGTTAACGGCATTTCAGTAAAAGGCATTGAAAATACTACAGACATATTCCTGGTATACAGGATGATTATATTTAAAAAAAAAAACTGCAACACAAAAATCAAAAAATTTCGATAGTTCATCTCATTTGAATCACTCTGTACTTAATACCAGAACTTGCGCCCCAGAGAAAAATGACATATAAGGTAAGGTACCAGGAACATGGAAAAAATGTTAAAAAAATTTTATCTACAAAAATTTCGAAGTTATGAGAGTTTAAATTTTGCAAAATGTCAAAATTTTTTGACATAGAATTTTTTCCATGTTCCTGGTATCTTAATTGAAATTTTTCTCTGAGGTGCGAGTTCTGGCGCACTCTGTATAAGTCAATTTCTAAAAGAATGACACATTTGCGATTTTAATAGTAAAACAGAAAGTGAAACTGAGAGTATTAAAAAAATACTTTTGTTATAAAGGGTGATTCAGCTGAGTTGACGCTATAGTTTGCCTTAAAAGTTTTAATTTATTATTATAAATCATACTTCTATTATAAATGTAAAAAGTATTATTTTTTTTTGATAATAAAATGCTTACAGAGAAAGAAAAAAATATTTACCGAAAAATTTATTAACAACAGAAAAACTACAAATTTTGATAGTTTATCTCATCTGAATCAGCCTGTACTTAATATAAGTAAATTACATTTCAAAAAAAATGCCAAGTAAAACAAGATACTAAAAACAACGAAAAAATGTTTAAAATATTTTTTTGTCTGAAGCAATAATAAATTAAAAATGATAGTTTGTGTTTTTCTTCTCTTGTGATGAGACGGGACATAATTTTTGCGATCCGAGTCTATCTGAAATCTAATCTGAACGCCGGAACAATTTCAGCAGCACAATAATACCGCACCCCGGAACCGATTTATACGTTTTTTATTTATGTGTTAAGCATATGCCAATGATTTATCCAACGTCCCCTATCTAAATTCGTTTAGATTTAAAAAAAAAAAGGGAGAAAGAGAAGATTATCTCCGGAACGATGAAATACCGTCGCAGTCCGCATTTACAATATAATCTGGAAGAGAGGGATATTTATGTCTCCGATCACACAATGAGGCAAGAAACGAGGGCGCACCGGAAATAGGTAAACCGGAACTGTAGTGCCGGAATCCGGGAAAAGGGTAATAGGTCAGTCGGTGGGTCAATCGCCGATGGAATTATACATAAGGCCCTTTAACTATTTACGACTCCGGTAACCCACAAGATGAACACAATGATTTTTTACGAGCCCTTTAATCAACTAATTGGCAAAAAAATAAGGGATTCGTTAGGAGTTAGTCACAAGTAAACAAAATTCGAAAACTAATAACAAGTTTGTTGTTTCATTACCCATTCGCTATCTAGTGCACAGCTTGAAACTTTTCTAAAAACAACACAATCCGAGCTACTCCTCAGATTTTAGAATAAAATAAATCGGAACAATAAAGTTGCTTTAAAATATCAATCCGAGGTAGAAAACAGAGGTTTCTTATTTAAAGTTGAAGCGAGTTGTGAGCGATTTTTTCCCGGATTCTGTGTGTATCGAGTTTCACGTCCAGATGAAGGATGAAAGCAAAAAATTCGAGGATTTGCGCAATCAATGAGCTGGCCAGTTCTGGAAAATATTTAATTTCCCCTTGTTTTGCTCTAATTTCAACACCGGCAACGCATAATTAACACGAAACTAAGTAATGGAAGTTTTGTGTGTGAGGGCTGTTCTCTAAATGTGTAAAAACCCGGATTTTGGCTCACTCTTGCGTATCATATTTAACAAAGTTTGAGGGTGGAAAAGTTTTTTGCTTTTTAAATTAACAAATTAGTTAAAGGAGAACAGTCATTGATTAAAGTTTTTTGTGACATGGGAAATAATCCTGCAATGACACACTTGAGGCAAAGGACGTAATTTAAGTTGAGTCATAACTACTCCCGAGAGCTGGCAAGTTAATAGCAATGAAGCTTGTTGATGATTTCTAAATGGATGACGGCCACTGCCATGCAATGTGAGCGTTTATCATAATGTCATCTCTGTATGGCTTTTTTACTCTACGAAAACTTTTAAAAAACAATGATTCAATGCATTGTTAATGTCAGTAACTAGCTATACATCAACGAGATAATTTTTTATACAGACTGTTTGCGGTAAACCCGAAAAGTATTGTGAGTTTTGATAATGATATTTGTCTAAAAATTTGCATACAGTTTTTATTGGCAAAGTTTTCGTAAATTATGAGAAAATAATTATGAGAAAACATCGTCATTGGTAACAATAAACAGACATAAAAAGAACTTTTTTTAATTTTTACCTTGTTTTTGGTATCTTATTTTACTTGGCATTTTTCTCCATAGCGTCATCTCAGGTAAATCACTCTTTACATCAGAAATTTTTTTTTTATTCTTAGGTTTACTCTCGATTTTACTATTAAAATCGCAGTAATTATGTCACTGTTTTTGAAATGTA